TCTCCAGATGCATACATATATACTCTTGCACATCATCACCAAAGGCCTTTGTAAAGGAAGGTGATTTGTTTTATCTATATTTTTGTTTGCTTGTTTAACAGGAATAGAAGATTAACTGTTGTGATCTGAAGGAGTAGTATCAGACAAAACAAAAACAATAGACTAAAACATTGAGGCTCCTTAAAGACTAACTAACTTCTATATTTTAATGTGAGCTTCTGTGGATCAAGTTCACTTCCTCCAACAAAGGAGTCATGGTTTCTTTGGAGACTATCAGCTCCCACTCACTGGATTGAGTTCAGGACTTTTCCCATCTGCAGGTCTACTTGTATAACAAACATGATTCAAATAGTGTGGAATCAACATTTTAAATTTTTTATAGCTTTTGGAAGCTGCTTTCACATCACCAAAACATTTGTAAAACTAATACTGTATTATTTATTCATACAAAATGTGACCTATATTTTTAAAAAGAAAGAAATTAGACACTGACTGAGAGGCCAGCTACACAGGACTTTAGGCCACTATGTACCCCCTTGTTAGAAGAGCTGGGATTGCTCTAAAAATATTCACTACATGATGTTCTTGTTAAAATACTCCAGCCTGTCCCATTGGGGACCTATCCGTCTCAGATTGGCTTAGTGTTGGAACCTACTGTCTTACCTTAAATATTGTATTTCAGTGTTGTAAACTGTCCTAGGGCCTTTTCAAGGAGAAAGATGGGGTAAAAAATGTTTTAAATAAATAAAATAATTGAAACAATTAAGAATGGTCCAAATACACACAGTTTCCTTGCAGTGCAATCACTTAGATCACTCCAGTGTGGAGTTTGGTGTGTGTTCTTCCTACGCATCAGGGGTGATGTGTACAGGTGGGTGTGGTCTGATTATGGATGGCACCCTACATCTTATTTTGAAGTGGGGGAAAAGCATGTTCACTATTGTGCTGCATCACTTGGGCATTGTGTCACTTACCAAAAATTAATTTTAGAAAGGAGGAAAGGAGAAACATAAGGCTGAAATATGGCACTCTGTACGTACCACCCCCTTTGTGTGCATAAAAACCCTGCATTAATGCTCACCTGCAAGCAAATGCTAGCAGGCTGTTTCCCAACTGGCTGACAGCTATTGCAAAAGAGAAGGCAGGAGGAGGGCAGCAGCAAGAAGAGGGCCAAACAGACCAAAAGAAGTGATCTAACATCAACATTTGGCCGACTAGATCGCAACTACAGGGGCTATAGGAGCAATCAAGCCCCATCATTCCAACCATTCTAGATTGTAACCCAGACTAGATTGCTCCCTTGTGATTGGGTTCTTTCGCAAGTGTGGGCGGGCCCAGGGTTTCGGCGGGAAGAACAGAAGGAGTGGAGGCGTCCGGTACAAACAACGGTTCTTTATTCGTTTTAACATCCAAAACACCTAAACCAAAAGGGTCCAACTCATTCACCTCCTGCAACAGCTTATAACTTTTAACTTTCTCAAACTCAGTATTTCTTCCTTTCCTTATTCCTTCTTCATCCCAAGGATGTTTGGAGAAACTCTGCTCTGTGCCAGGAAGCTCAATACCACACACATTGTCACGCAACAGGGATGCTTCACATAATCTTCCAGCCAGGGGAGATTGTTGCTGACACCAGAATGGATCTCCTTCTTCCCCAAATCCATTGTAGGATAAACCACTCCCATATTCCATCCTGTTCCTTGCCTCAGCCTGTCTTTCTTTATCTCCCTGGGAGGGTCTGGTAGCAGACCGCCTCCCGTTCTTAAATTGGGGGATTCTTTTACTAGGTTTATGAATCTGTACCTTGTCTCTCCTGTTTCCTCGGTCTTGCACGCTCTTGTCATCTTTTCCTTTCTGTCCCTCCTCTTTCTCCTCCTCCTCTTTTATCTCATCCCATTTCATCAGATCCAGCTCCGCCCACTTCTGTTTCTGTCTTCCCTCAGCTAAGAACACTTCAACCGCTTTATTCCGCCCTATTTCTCCATCATCAATTTTAATAAGTTCTCCTACGGCACATCCTTTGTTATCTTTTGGCTGATTCTTCTGGGAGGACTGCACACTTGGTGACTCTCGCTCACATCCCTGTTGCTAATATAGACATACCAGATTATCCTACCTGAAAGACTAGTTGAAATCCTGTTCTGTAAGTAACACCATGTAAAACTGGTGTCATCAGTCTCATTTTGGGTGGTGGTGGTAATAAAATATTTCTGATTCCCCTTCTCTCAAAGGTCCCAAGGTTTCCATCAGAATCCCTTTCATCAGGAAGCCATTGGCAGCCATGGAATGGAGAAATCTAATCCCAGCAACAGTGATTTTTGCTTATCAAATATTGGGGCCCATGGGATGGGGAAGTCTTTAATTACTGAAAATTGAAGCTGTCCCAGCAACAAAGATTTTCATTAATCAAATACTTTCTTCTCATCCCATGCCCCCACAGCTTCCTGGCAACAAAAGGGATTCAATGGGTGCCTCAGGATCTTTAGGGCAGAAACTGAAAATGTTTTATTTCTAAATACAATCACTGTGGTGGATTTCCCCCCCCCCACAGACTTTTGCAGTGTAACATACAGAAAGGATTTCAGTCACTGAAAGGCTAAAAGGAAGGGCATGATCATGCAGTGATATTAACTGCTACTTAATATTAATACAGGTTGGAAATAAAATCATTTTTACTTTTCCAAAAGTGCCTGTTCTTGAATATAGATATATATTCTGTGTCTGTACTCATAAATATACAGGTATGGAAAGCAAAAAAACATAAAAGGTAGTTAGAAATGTATGATTGTTTAAGGAAATAATGATGCAACCACGTGACTAGTGCTAATAAAAAGCACTTCAGTTTGGTCAAGGAAAACAGTTCCTAAGAACTGGATTAACCACTTTCTGGATACATCTGTTCAGCAGTAAAATTTAATATATGTGAGCAATCATAAAATACATTTACAAGGGAGATGGGGGTGGAGTCTGTTGAACCAATGCATCAGAATCAAGTGGCATCGAAGACAATTGATTTCTGTACACTGGGCCTGTTGATTGTGAGCTGGCTTCATTGAAAATAATTGTACATGAGCCAATAGGAGAAGGTATAGAAGTCCTCTTCCCAGTGTTAGATTTGTGGCAGTCCGTTTCCACAGGGAAGTCATGACTTGCTTTTGCAGTCATGGTGATGAACATTGCATGTGTTAATGAGAACACAATCTGATCTGGCAAGCTGAAAGCTTAACCTTTGGTGAAAGTCAAGCTACACCCCTCCCCCATCCTGTATGTTGTTTGAGACAAGTAAGAATACAGGGGGGGGGGAACCCGACTTGATTATATATTTTTCCACGCCAGAGAGAATTTCAAATAAACATTTGAGAAAGGAATCGAGTTTGGCATAATCGGCTGTACAGACCTTCTGGAGAGAACAAGGTGTCAAAATCTGAGGTTTGAGGCTCAGTAAAGGATGCCGGCATTGACTAGCAAAAACCAAATGGTAACGGCATGACACCAAACTGGTGAAAGAGGCTTGAATAATTTATTTGGAAGTGTTTCAAATAAAAGTTACATTTCCATTGGGATGATTTGGGAATTGGAAAAACCCTTGCATTTGGGGAGGCCAGGATCCTGTCTGAACTCAGAATCCTGTGTTAGTACCCAGTCTTGAAATTTGTTCCATTGAACAAGAGTGGGCAACTTTTAAAAATTCAGAGGTTGCACACCCATGACCTTCTGGACCCCTGAGAGCTGGTCTTCAACAACAGAGAAAGCTGAACCGTTCTATCCTTTATGCAGGGTCTTTTCAAGCCTGGACCAAGACATTTTGCTGCCTGAGGTGGATAACGTGGCACTACCCTCTCCCTTTTTTTTCAAGTACTGTACTAAGCTGACTGGGGACCCAGTGGGACACTGGCAATGGAATACTGCACCATGCTCCTGCACTCCTGAGGACATCAAACTAGTTTAGGGGAGCAAGACAAACTCATGTGTGGCACACACACAACAGATAATGACTGGGAGAGCAGAGAAACAGCTAAGAAACTGTTATCTTTCCCCAGCATCCTTTACCTGAGGTAGTTGCTTCACTCAGCGTAATGGCAGGGTTGGCCCTGGGTATTCTTTATACCAGATATCATATGCCATTTCCTTGGGGGGGGGAAAAACCTAACTATTCATGTGTAAATATTTTACCAAAAGATGGAGAAACATGGGGAAACTCTCAACTCATTTTTCAGTGTGTCTAGACCGGCCTGGTTACACACCACATTTGAAACTGTGCTTTCTAGCCACCTACTCTGTGTGTGTGTTGTGTGCGTATCCCACTGATGCGGATTGCTTAGTATCAATACCCAAACACTCATTCTGCTCCAGAACAGCATCTCAAAAGTTTGCTCTGGAATTTTAATCTTTAATACGTCAGTACTCAGGGTGTGAAGGATTAGACGCCACATATTTATGTCGCAGTTCTTTTCTAGACTGTAGGACGTTATAGTTATACTGTACTTCTGTTTTCGCTGAAACAGGCTAACATGGCTTTCTTTCTCTCTCAAAATTCCTAGGGCATTTTGACATTGTGCATTAGCAAGCCCTACTTCCCTCTGCTACCCCAGGCCCAATGGAAAGGACCTCTTTTTTTTTTCCTTTTGCATCCATATGATGAATTTCTTTTACATTTAAGGTACAAGGAGTATAGTCTCCTTCCTCCACATAACTGTGATTCCTAACGCAGCCCGCTCGAAGGCGTCCCTAACTGAACGCTGTCGTGCAGCAGCGAAAGGAACGGAGCAAGGAACGGAGGGCCCCGTTAGGCCTCCGAGCGTTTCTCGAGTTGAGCACCCCGCACTGCAGCGTATTGCCTCAGGCTGCGCTTGAATCGAAATGGAAAGAGTCTTTTTTTAAAAAAATAAATAAATAATAATTAAAAAAAAAACCCAAGCAAATGGCAAATCCTCCTGCAGTCTCCAGAGGGCGGCACCGAGCGACGAACTTTCTTATGTGTACAAAGCAGGCTTCTTCCATTCCCCGCCTCTTGCCCGGGTGCTGTTGCTTTAAGCTGGAGCCCAGAGAAGGCGAAGGGGGAAAGGCAGAAGCTGCTGCCTTGGCGGGGCCCGGAGTTCCTTGCCCTTGCAGAAAAACAAAAACCACAAAAGGACGAGGAAGGGGGAGAAGGGGCGAGGAAGCAGGGCGCAAAGCTTCGTCTCCGCTCGGCGGCTTCGCCTTCTTTTCACCAGGGCAACCTTCACCTCTCTTTTTCTAGCACTTTTTTGTGGGTCTGCTCCTGTTTCCGTCGCTGCTTCCTCCCCTCCAAATTCGGACCACAGCCCGGCACAGGAAAGAGGAGCGCTGACAGATAGAGTCGCGATCAAGCGCCAGCCACCCCTAGACTACCCCTGCGCCGCCGATCCGCGTTGACAGGCAGCGAGACCAGCAGCGGCGGCGAGGCAGCCTCCCTCTCGTCTTTCTCTGCACGCCGCCGCCGCCGCCTCTCCCCCCTCCGCCGACACGCATCCCGCCAGCCCTGGAGAAAAGAGAAGCCGGAGGGCAAGGGGGGGCAGAGGAAGAGCAAGCAGGCAGAAATCAGGAAGGGTCGCTGCTTCTCTGCCCAGGCATCATGTGGATCTGTTTGTAAGAGGGGTGGGGGGGCCAGATCCCCTCTCCTTCTCTCCCCCACCCCCACTCCTCCCCCCCCTCTCAACGCATACGCACAGCCGGAGGCATAACACGCGTCGACGAGGAAAGAAAAGGCAAAGGAGCCGGAGAGGCCGCGGGGAGTCATCAGAGAATTGATTGTGAAAAAAAAGAAAAGCAGAAGAAATTATTTCCTGGCAAGATGGCCGACTTGGAGGCTGTGCTCGCTGATGTGAGCTACTTGATGGCTATGGAGAAAAGTAAATCTACTCCAGCCGCCCGGGCAAGCAAAAAGATCGTGCTACCTGAACCGAGGTGAGCCGGGGGCAGGTGCCGGGCCCGTCCACGAGACACGGTTCCCTAAGGCGGGCTTGCCTGGGTCTGGATGAAAGCGGTGTGAGTGTGGGGGAAGAGCGCGTCTGTGAATCCATGCAGACGTGAGCTTTTCACGGTTGTGAAATGAACCGAGGCAACCAGTCTTGCCTCTTGCAGAGGAGGTATTGAGGTACCTAAAACCGAATCGTATCGCGGGGGTGGGGGCTCCTGAAAGCGGTATAGTTCGGCTTACGTGCTTGTTATTCTAGTGGGCAGGATGATGGACTGTCAGGGCGCCCTGGCTCTGTTTCCTGGTTCTTCCTTCAGCCCAGAGCTCTAGATACCATTCCTAGGCTTCCCAGCAGCAACCTTGTAGTCCATATCCCCAGAGAATCAAAACACCCCCCTTTCCCCCCCTCCCCTTTTGTTGCCTTCTCACTATGGATGTGTAACATGTAGTTATTAGCCCCCGCAGAGTCAGGCTAATACACTAGACTGTGTATGAATATACACTACATTTCTGTGGTACTGCATGTTCTGAGGAACATACAGCAGTGCCTGGGTGCCATTCTCCTGATACCCTGACCACTGCTTTGCATTTTTTTGATCATCACTGTGGAAGCAGTGGGCCCCTGTTGCTTATGCAGAAGAATCTCTTGTAAGGCTTACGTCCACAAGCGCGCAGGGCAGCTATCATGATATTCCTCCAGAACTATGCTTTTGGTAGCATGGTTGCTAGTAACACCCACACCTTTGCTTACCTTCTGTCTGCTCTGAACTCGTGGGAATTGGGGCTCCCTAAACAACACTGCAAGCCTGCTGCAAAGTCACTGAGACACAGCTTTCCTCAAAGCGTATGTAGGGAAATGCAGTTGAAGAAAACTGTGTCTTTTAAGGCTCTTGTTTCCAGGTGGCACATGCGTACAAAGGCACTACTAGATCCTTAAGTCAAATAATGTCAGCTGGCCATCCATTTGGATCACAGAGCCACAACTTAGTTTGGCCAGCTCTTACGTCTTGCTGGCAGCAGTTACTGAAGGTTATAGGCTTGGGCCTGACAGACATCCTGTAGCTACAATGTGTAGACAAGTGCAGGCCCTCCTCAGTCGGCCCTCAATGCACTTTCATCTGGTCTCTCATTCTAGCCAATAATCTTGGGTTGTCTCAACTGAGATGTCTATTCAAACAGAATTTGCCTCCCTTCTTTCTGTTGAAGGAGAGGTGGATTGTCTCTCAGGAAGATCAGACAGGCCCCTTGCCAAAAGCAGTGGCAGCTCCCCTTGCAGAGGATGAAATGGATGCGTTATTGTGGTCATCCCTGTAGCCTTTGTGCTCTTCAAGTGGCTGATAGTTTCAGTGTGGAAGTGCCCACATGGGTACTTCAGGTGACCTTCCATAGGCTTAGGGGGAAATGATATTGAAATCGGCGCAACCGAATAACTGAGTCTTTTCATTTGCTTATCATCTCAGCCAGTAGCTGCTTGGTGGTAGCGCACACACCCCGTCCATTTGGCCTGAGTCATAATCTTGAGGGCAATTTAAAATCACTGTTTTGAAGCTGCAGAGTTAAGTCCTATTTGCTGTTTCTCATTGAGGTTCTAACCACCTCTCACCTGGCTATTGTGGTGCCTAAGCGAAGCGTCACTTGTCTTGATAGTGTCGTTTTTTTTCTTGCATGCCTGATGGCCCTCTCCTTGAGGCACACCAGCAAGGCCTTTGATTTTTGTAACCAAAAAAAAATCTGCTAGAGGAGGCCAGGTCAGCATTCTGATCCCACAGAAGCCAACTGGCCGCTTATGGAAAGCCCCCAAACAGGACATGAAGGCAATAGCAGCCACTAGTATTCAGAGGTGTGTTGTCTCAGACACAGGATGCTGCAGATACAGTAGCTGTTATAGCTAATAGCCACTAGTAACCTTATCCCCAATGAATTTGTCCACTTTCATTTAAAGCTACCTAGGCTGCACCCCTCAGCATGTTTTGAGGAAGCAGATTTCACAGGGTGGCTCTGCACTATGTGAATACAGACTTCCCTTTATCTGTCCTGAATCTGCCCCCACATAGCTTCACTGGATGACCTTGAGTTTTAGCATTATGAGGAAGAGTAACCTCTCCTTGTCCACTTTCTCTACACCATGCATAATTTTAAATATTTCTGTGCCCCTTCCACACTTTGCGATGTTTTTCACCCAGCCTAAAAAAAATCTCTGTATGTTGTAATATTTCTTTATAGGCAAGTAGCCTCAGTTCCTTTTTCATTTGCTTGCTTCTTCCCATATCATTTCCTGCTTTGCAGTATTCTAGTTTACTAGCCATTTGGAGTAGAGGAAAGGGATTATCTTGACTGCAGCTCAAAATACAGAAGGATACAGTTGTGAGCTTTGCCTTTATTGGGGAATTGGGGGGGGTCAGATGGCTAATCAGAGGAGCAACTCAATGCTCTGAAAGAAGGCTAAGGATTAAGAAGCCCCTAGAGAGGTCTTGTCTTAATCACAATAGGGAGCTTACTAAGGTGCAGAAATTTCCCATCAGAAGGAATAACAGGATAGCATGGGGGGGAGTGTGTCAAAATGAGTGTGGAACTGTGTGTGACTATGTTCCAGACATCTGCCGGAATCTGATACTGGGATTTAGGATCTTCCTCTAGTAGTTAGGCCAGGAGATGTGTCTGTCTTGCTTAAGGTATTTTGTTTTTGAAGGGCAACCACATACACTCCATTGTGGAATTTAACAGGGAATAAAAAAAAGGAAATGTCAGAAATAGGTAGGCTTACAGAGAACGTGATAAGGCAGAGGCTGACGGAATTCTTAATGCCCCCATCTGAACACATAAAATTGATAGGCCCCCAGGCATAGTCCATCTGAAATCACAAGATGGAGGAAAGTGGGTTTGGATCCTAAGCAGCATTGAGTATGTGCTTTGCAGTACAATGTGCAAATCAAAGATATGTGCATATTTTTGCATAATTTATTTTACTTGCAGCTGCCATGGGAAAGAGCAAAAAGCAATGTAGGAAGCCAGACACCCCACCCTGAGATTGCTGGAAATTCAGCCACACACCACCACAACTTGAAATGTAGTTTTTTCCCTTCTCATGAAAAATTCAGATTCCAGTGTCTGCCTAGATTGTGCTCCAATACACTGTCTTCACAGATCAGAAGGACTAGAAGCTTGCTTTGCTTTTTCCTTTCTCTTTTTATGGGAAGAGTCTCAGGATGTTGATTTAGTACCCCATGCTAATTTTTATGTTTGTCTTGTGTGAAGAGCCACAATCCTATTCGCATGCAACTGTAACACTCCTTAAAAACAGATTATCACAAACATCATTATATGGGCAAACTACTGTAAACTGAGGCAAAATAATCTAAGCACTCTGCCTTTCATGAACATTTCTTAATGAGTAATTGATTGAAAGGCTTCCTGTCTGTTTTTACCTGCATCTTGGAAATACAATAAAATCTAATATGAAGCACACTGTTGTCATCTCAGTGGGCCTTCCATTCTGAAAGGATTATTTTATGACTTTGATTAAAATGCTAGACCATCTTCTGGAATTTTAGAATAACAGAAATAGGACAGAGATATTGCAACAGGGAACATCAGTAAAAGCTATTGAACAGGTTGCACAGGATTAAATGTATTCATGACTATAATACAGTAGCAGGGATACACTATTTTTAATGTCTTGTTACAGTTGTATCCTGCTTGTCCATTAAACCAGTGGTTTTCAACATTTGGCCATCCAGGTGGTCTGGCCTTCAACTCCCAGAAGCCCCAGACACCTTGGCCAGTGGCAACAGATTCTGCGCATTGAAGTTTTTAAAAATCTGTAAAATGAGAGATTGAGAATCACTACCGTGAGGCAAGTGTATAAGGGCAATGTGGCCTTCCAGATGTTGCACCATTGTAATCCTGTCAGACTTTCTCAGCACACCCAGTGGTGAGGGGGGCAACACAACATCTGGAGATTCACGTGTTCCCCATCCCTGCTCTGAGGCATTTGAAGTCAGCATGTTGTCCTCACAACCACCCTCTAAAAGAGATTAAACTAAGATACTGCCATTTTTCCTGAGCTAAATCTCATGGAGATTAGTAACGAAATGAAGATTTGAATCAAAGTTCCCCACCATTGAAGTCTGTGGTTCTGGTTCCTGTTACTAAAAGCCTATATTAAAGAGCTCTATTTATGTGGGGTAGTTATTCTGGGGGGTGAGGGCAGGACTACTTAGAGCTACTGCCTCTCAAAGCCACTTTCATCTTTTAACATTTAGAGGGAGTCTTAATATTTTATTTATTATGTGATATCCTAGTTCCTCCCAAGCAGCTCATACTGGGTCCCATTGTAGAGACTTTTTCTCTTACAAATCTGCCTAGAGGCATTTAAAGTTGCACAGTATCAGGACAGCATTTCTTAATGCCAGCAGGGAAATCAAATACATAAATACCCTAAGGTGTCAGTATAGGAGTCCAAACTTCCAAAATACAAAGGGTAGCTTTTATAGGTGATTACATAAAGCGCTATAAGTAAGTAATTAAAATTAGTATCCTTCTTTGTTCCAGTGTGTCTAAAGAATTACTCTCTCTCATAATACATGTAACTAGCTATACTATGTACATTGGCTATTTCTAATACATTTATATATTTGCTAAATTCTGACACATGGCTGTATCTCAAAAGTGACAGTGAGGAGGAACCGCCTCTCTATTGCATCTGCTTTTATCCTCACAATAACAACCCAGCGGAGTAGGTCGGGCAGTGTGTGTGTACCAAGCCATGAGCACCAAGAGAACTTCATAGGTTGGTGGGGAACGGAGCCCACTTCTCCTAAACATCGCTTTTTAATTTGTCACACAGAGCAGAATCAGAGATCAGGAAAGGGGGGGGGGAGGGGGCTCCATAATTCCTATTATGGAGCATCACTTAAGTCTCTCCCTTTGGCTTTCTTCAATAGATTGTCACACAACTGCGCTTCCTGCAAGCATCACACTAGTTGGCCCTTTGTGTGGTGCAGTGTCTCATGTTACTCCTGCCAAAGAAACACACAGCCTAGTATCAAAGGGAAGGTGTCTCTCTGGCGCAGCTGCCAGGAAATTGTGTCACTTGCGAGTGTAGGCAGTTGGATCTGCTGCAACGTAAGCAACTGCGGCAGAGAGCAAGACTTGGGGCAACCTGTGACTTTTGTAGTATCCATCATGTCCTCATCCTTTCTTGCAGGCTTCATAGAGGAGTTAGAAATGTGTCAGGAATGGATCAGTGTGGCATTTATGAAAAGGCAGAATGTAGATTCAGTGGGACTGTGGATAATAAAGAGTGGAGAGAAGATACTTCAAAAGGAGTGAGGCAAGTTTTCCCTTTGCTGGTTGCTGCAGGACGCAGGGTTTCTCTTCTTGTTAAGGGTACCAAATTATTTTCTGTGCATTCATTTCCTTTCGTTGGCACTGGGTATGAAGCTTGCCAGAGTTCCATGAAGTACTAGAATCAGACTAGCTGAGCTTTCAATCCACAAGAGCATAAAGAAAGAGAGAACACACACACACACGCACAGCTCCAGTGCCCAGGGATACATGCAAGCCACTTCCCATTTCCTCCCCAATGGCCTTTAAGGGAACAAGAGCATTGTCAACAGCTGGCTGATTATTTTTAGTTGTAACTGCCTCTCATTAAGAGTCTGTGCAAGAAGAACTCTAGGGAGCTGACTTTCTCAGTATTTCTCCCTTGCTGTCATTTAGTATCCTCTTTTACTAAGAGGGAAAGTGAGGCAGAAATTGGATTACTTGAACCACCTCTTTAAAGCCTCCAGTCTCTAGTCCATTGTCAGAAAGCCTTAGAATCACTTCTGTAGATTACAAAGCACTTACAAGCCCACCTTGATAGTTTTCTAGGCTGCTCAACCGCACAAAGACATGCTAGTCACTTGTGGCTTAAATTAACTCCCTTTTGTAAAGCTTTCATTTTATGGTTGCGTGGATTGCATTCTTATTCACCACGGATGACCAGACTACATTTACGTCTGGGCTAAATGCAGTTGTGCTGCTCTGGCACAGAGCTAATGTCTTGAAGCTAAGAGACCCACGTTCAACCTTCTGCTGAATGCATAAATCAGGTAACAATTCTGATTTGTCTACCTTACCAGGACATTGCAGGAATAACCAGATGATGAGTGTTAAGTCCTTCTTCCACAGAAGGCATTTTATGTAATAATATTACTGCTATCATTCAAATAGACCTGCCCCCTGGAGAGGGTTGTCATGGAGATGGTAGAGACGCATTATCCCAGTCCCATAACAGCAGCAGGCTCCAGAAACACAACCATCCTCCTTCCTCCCACTGTTCTTCCATATCAGTCACAGGATCTTCTCCCCATTTCCCCAAGAGTCACTAGCTTCAGGATCCAGAGCCCTGAAAAATTGGTTCCTCCATGTACCTTAGAAATGCCTCTTGCTTAATAATTCCTTGGAAGGAAATTGTTCAAAGGAGAAAAAAAAATCATGCAGGCTTCTGTTACTTACTGCAGCAAGATTCTAAGATACTGATTCTCTACCTTCCAATTCCACCTGATCTGGTGGACAAAAGAGAAGATAAAAGAGAACCAACTCAACACATTTTGTCCCTTAGAGGCTAGATATTCTTTGCATTAAACCCCCATGGAATCTTCTATATTGCCTTTCTCTGGAAGACAGAATGAGGGTCTAGCAGTCGCATGTTTTTAACCTCAAGCTCTAACTAATAGATTGTAGCCACAAAAGTTGGTCTTAATGCTTTAACAGAATACTGTATGTAAAACAGCAAAATAAGTGGAAATACTGTTCCCTTGTGCTCTGAGGATGCTGTAGTGGCTTTCTTACAGGCTTTTATTCTGCTCATTTTCCATTTGATGTTTTTAAAGATACCGTGGGAGGCAGGAGCTTGATTCGACATCAGAAACAAGGGATGCCTTTTCCCTCCTAGATAATACCACTGCCTGGATCATGGACTATTTTACTATTTTACCCAATATTCAAACTAGTAAGAAAGTATGCACATCAGGATGAAGGGCTACTTTCTTGTGCTAGTTTTCCGTGAAGGGATTTCCCGTGAGAAAACATTCAAACCAACTTTTTTTTCTTCTTTTCAAACACTTGCAGCCTGCAGTAGAGGAGTCTAAGTCTTTACCAGTTAGGTTTTGATTATTGTGTAAACTGGCCACAAGAACACTTTTAGATGCATCTTTCCCCATTTCTGGTAGCACAGCTCATTTTGCAAGCTATGGTGTCTAGCATAGGGAATTAGTGCTACATGTGCCACGTGCATTGCTATTTCTTGTTTCAACCAGTTCAAGGATCTGTACAGTCAACGGGTGGATTGTAGGGATCAAGAATGCTAACTCAGCATACCTGTCAAGTCATATCTTAAGCTGGGTCTTCCAAAATTGGCATGTGCTTCTCACTGGCATGTCCTTCTCTTATCTAGAGAAATGCACCAGTATTGCAAATGTAAGCACACTTAGTTGGAGATAATCCTATTTACATCTGTAGTGCTTCCTTTCAGGTAAACTGTGAAGAGCAAGTCATTAGAAATAATTCTGTGGATTTTTCAAATAAAATCTATTAGGTCTAAAGAAGAAGAATACTAAGGGACGTTCCCTGATATTTTTGTGAGTAGGGTATATCCTTGTGAATGGTCCTCAGGAAATTCCATTGCCTGCTGTAGAGTGAGATGGGAATGAAAGTTGATCTATAGACATATCATGTGTCCTGCTCAATGAGTTAATATTCGCAAGAAAAATCAGGTTTTCACCCATTTCAGGGTGTTTGCTTCAAAACAGTCTCTCAATCATTTGTAATTCATTAACCTAGCATGACTGTGTCTAGTGGCCAGACAGTATAGTGTATTCCAAGCTGTCAGCTGGAAATCTTGCCAATTCATCTTTGAAACTAGTCAGTGTACTTTTGGACCTTGAAATGCTAGATTTGTTCTCAGCAAAAAGGTACTGTATTCCCAGTTTCTTCCCATTTTGTATGTCCTTCTTGGTCATAAAAAGAAAAAAGAAAAGAAAAGAAAAATAGCTAGAAATCCCAACAAACATGATATTTTAATAAAATGGATTGGACTCAGAATATAACCCTCGTAGCCCATGCTATAGACCTGCTGAAATCCCCACTCAATTCTGCACACCCTTTAAAGGTACAGGACAGCTGCACTCATTTGCCTTAGATCGCTCTAACTTAGTGCCTTTGAGTTCTGCTGATCTCAAAGATGAGAGATCCCCCCTCCCCACTCAGTGTATCTTACTTTCCATGATGACAAGGTATGTGGAGTTGGGGAAAGCTGCTTCATAGGCACAAGTTCTGGAGGAATAGCCGCGTTTGTCTGCTGCAACAAAAATGACAAAGCGAGCGCTGAAGTCTAAAATAGCTAGTCTTTGGAGGTACTGCAAGGTTCTCTCTTTTGTCATTCAGAAAAAGTGTCTGGAAAGAATATGCCATGCGAAAGATATGCTTCCCAATTAACTCTTCTGTACCTTCTCCTGGCAGCATCCGCAGCGTTATGCAGAAATACCTGGAAGACCGGGGTGAGGTGACCTTTGAAAAGATATTTTCTCAGAAGATTGGTGAGTACGAGCCTTTGCCCAGGTCAGGACTTCAAAAGTACATGCTTGCACTTAATTCAGCCTGGAGAGAAGGACGAGATGATGGTAAGGTTGGTGGAACAGGATATTGCACAGCTTCTTATAGAAGCTCAGTCTGTCATTTCGTCCCTCTTCAGCTTCTGATGTGCAAATAGCTTCTGTCAGAATTCGGATATTTTTAAAAACCAATTTGTTACAGTAGATTATTATTATTATTAGTTTTTAAAAGTGCTGTAGTTTTTATTAGAAAGGTAATAATTACATTGCATGTTTTTTCTTTACTTTCTTGGTGGAAACTTATAAGTGAAAGGAGAATGGCATGAAGCATTTAAAAAGTGCTCTTGAGAAGCAATTTTAAAGAGTAACTAGAAAGCATTCTTCGTCCAAATGCCAGATGCAAGGGAGGGGTATCAGGAGGCAGGTATCTAGTTGTCTTGTGTGCTCCCAGAGGCATCTGGTGGGGACACTGTGAGATACAGGAAGCTGGACTAGATGGGCCCTTGGCCTGATCCAGCAGGGCTCTTCTTATGTTCGTTACACTTATGACATTAACTTGGCTCTTACTCATTATGGTGCTTTTGCAGTGTGTCTTCTTTATGTCCTAAATGTAACAACAAGAAAAGGAAGTTGTTTCTTCCAAACTTCCTCTAGTTGTACAAGAGAGAAGGTGCCATAGGTGGGGTTTCTTTTTATCCTGCATTAGGGGAATTCTCACCTACTGTTCTTCTTACCAGTTACTGAAAACCTGGTGGCTGTCCTCATTCAGCACGTAGGTTAGTGAGTCTCGTATGGAAACCAGAAGGAAGCCAGTGCTCCTGTACATTCATAAAGTGTGTAGGAAAGGTCTTCTGAAAGGCATTGCTTGTCACTGCTTTGGCATTGTTCTGCTAGGACATGGGTAAGGAACACACAGAGTCCCAGTGTTGCCCCCAGCACCCTCTACCCTGCAAAAATAATAATAATGCAGAAAAGGTCTTTTTCAACATAGGAGGGTTAATTTTGCCATGACCTGAGGGCTCCACAACATTCCTGACCATCCACAATCCAAAACTTTTTTAAAAAAATTGGGTTACTGGGGGTGCAGAGCCCCTTCTTCAGGTTAAAAAGTCCAATTTTTGTAGGGAAAAAAGGGTTGCAAAAGTGGATATGACTGCCCAAGGTACAAGAATGGGCATTCGTGGCTCCTGGGTTTTTCGATGTTGCCCACCCTTGGGTGTGCAATGATAAACTCTGAGTCAGCCAAATTGTTTTGGTCTAAAATAAGCAGAAAATGTCCTGTGCCCCTTTTGAGTTTGGTTAATTTATGGATCATGCTGGTGTTGTAAAGCCCTAAGGGAGATGAGCAGAGAGGTTATGCAAGTGGATTTGCTGAAAGAGGGAATTCTTTGAGGTCAGTGAAGAAATTCTGCTGCTTCTTGTGCAGTTGGTGATGATTCTTTTTCCCCTACCGAGTGGTGAACTGGGTGGTGCTTGCTTCACTTGAAGGATATTGGAAGAGAAAAGGATTGAAAAGAATCCAGTTTAAGGCAAGGCTAGGAAACATGGGCCCCAACAGATTGTCCGTGGGGAGTCTCACTAGTGCTAGGCAGCATATCCAGTGATGAAGGATGAGGGGAATTGTGATCCAATACTATTAGGAGAAAGGGGACGTGGTGGCGCTGTGGACTAAACCGCAGAAGCCTGTGCTGCAGGGTCAGAAGACCAAGCAGTTGTAAGATCGAATCCACGCGACGGAGTGAGCGCCCGTTGCTTGTCCCAGCTCCCGCCAACCTAGCGGTTCGAAAGCATGCAAATGCGAGTAGATAAATAGGTACCATCTCGGTGGGAAGGTAAACAGCGTTCCGTGTCTAAATCACACTGGCCATGTGACCACGGAAAGATTGTCTTCGGACAAACGCTGGCTCTATGGCTTGAAGAGCGGGATGAGCGCCGCCCCCTAGAGTCGGACACGACTGGACAAAAATTGTCAAGGGGAACCTTTACCTTTACCTTTTACTATTAGGAGAGCCACATGTTTCCCAGTTCTGGCATGAGGCATACAAAAGGATTTTGTTAGTGTCTGCTCCCAGACTGCAGAAATCAATCCCCTTGGAGGCAAGGCTGGCCCCCTCCTCCTTGTCCTTCCACCTATTGGTAATTCTTTTTTAGGGTGACATTTTGTTTTTAGGGAGACTTCCAACTGATTTGGACCAGTAGTGTCATTATGGGATGCTGGATATACCTTTGTTCCCTGTTGAATTAATAGATATGTGTTTTTAAGTGTTTTGAAATCGCAGTTCTTAATTCTTTGCCTTTAACACAAAATTTAATTGTGCTTAGTGTGTTGTTTTATTTCATTGTGAGCTGCCTTAAGTCCTTTCACAGGGAGAAGAAAGCATAAGAGTTACATTAAATTTGTAATGTTCTCCCTCTAGGTTGGCATGAAGAAGTAGTGAGTTTCCAGTTGTTGATAAATGATTTTTGGCTGTTTCTTGGCTTTTACTAGGATGGCTGTGGCTAGTGGAACTGGAGTTCAACACAATATTGGGGACTTCATATTGCCCAAGGCCTGCTTTGGGGATTATTGGACCACTGGACCCTCAGTGGGTTTTTGTGAACTTAAGAATAATATAGCAAGTAGGATGGTATGGGAAACAGGTTTACTTATCACAGTAATCAGTAAAAAAAATCTGTGCAAGATTGAATTCTGCCTCCCCCCCCCACTCCATGCATCTCTTTAAAATAAATTAGCCTTTTAGAAACTAGGAAAGCTAGTTTGTTTCCTGGCAGGGCTGCTACTCTATTAACAGCTGTATGAAGAAATTAAACAAAAATCAGCAGGAGAATATGTTTTGGCTTCTCAGTAAATAGAGGGCTGGCAGAAATTTTACCTGACAGTTCCTGCATACCAGTTAGGAGTAAGTAGCTGGAGATGTGTTGTGGTTGCTGGGACCATCTGGAGAAAAGATGATGAAAATACAGATTAAGGAGGTTCACTTAAAAAATGGCTCAGGTAGCGTGGCTAGATGCCAAAAATGATTGTGCAGAATTTCGGGAGGCATAACTTGTCACGCAGAGCTACGCTTGCTGAAATTTCTTCTTTCATGTGGCTACTTAAAAAGACAGGAGATCTGTCCCCTTTTTTGTGTGTGGTCCCCCCTTGCCTAAGGACTTCTTGGGTGGCACTGGACTGTTGTCCCTACTATGCCAGGCCTCTCTGTTTGTAAGGGAAGTTTCCCCCTTTCAGTTAGTACACCCCGCCCCAACAGGAAACACTCTTGCTTCCTCCCACACCCACGGCCACTTGTGGTTTCCGCATGATAAGTCTCAGTTAAAGCAAACCCCCCCCCGCCCCGCCCCTGCAGGCTCTCCCATTGCTCCTTACTCTCCTGTTGCTTTCCCAGCAGTTGCTTGGGTTTGCCTTTCTCCTCCTGTCACCTGGGGATGATGGTGCATGCCTGCCCTGGGGGAAGGGCTTAGAAGCAGGAGCCGTTTAGCCACAAGCTGAGGTGGCTGTTGATCAGCGTGTTCCTCTGCAGAGGAGGAAAGGAAGGCGGAAGTGTGTGCATGGGTGTTTTGAGAAATTAGTAACTGTTCCTCAGGTGTGGGGATAAGTCTTCTTAACTGTACCTTTTCAGCTGCTCATTTGGTAACACCGGTGTGGATGTGTCTACATGGACTACATTATTACCAAAGATCTGCTTCTCACAAGAATACATGTAGGCAAAGATGTGCACATTCATACGCATCATGGGAGCCATGGAAGACTTTCTCACTATCACTGGCAAGTGGGTTTCTGCCATGTATTTACACAAAAGTCCTTTGGGTTAGGACAGACCTGGGCGAAGTCCAGCCCGAGGGCCACATACGGCCCGCGAGCAGCTTCTGTCCGGCCCGCCGGTCGTCGCTCCAGCCCAGTGTTCAAGCACTTGTTCAAGCCCAAGACAGACTGGATTTCTCTCACTGAACAAGCTGAACATCAAAACCATTTATAGCTTTTTGTCTAAAGCTGATCAGTTGCTTATCTTTTATTTTTAAGTAAAGTTGGTTCAGCCCCCGAACACAGTTCAGTTTTTTCATGTGGCCCCCTATAGAAATTAATTGCCCACCCCTGGGTTAGGATAACGATTCTAGCATGTGGAAGTTATGGCAGGCTTTGACAGAGGCACAGCAAGCGTGAGCAAGGCGTTTTCCTCTCTCTCTTATATTTATATATGTCTTCATCAATATATTTCATCTTAAATTACATCATGGGCCCCGTCTCTTTCCAAAAATATAATGATTCTTGTGTTGGAGTATAACCTTTACGTTTAGCAAATCCTAAGAGTCTCTAAAGCAGCCTATAAAACTGTTTCATAAAGCTGTTTGCACACAGAAAAGAATTAAAATATTTACCAGAAATCTCAAATCCTGTTCTTGCTTGCTTGGTTTCATTTGTCGCTCTAAAACTAATTAGATATTTATGTGTGGTCGTTTTGAATGGATAGAGGTTCTTGACTCTTAATGGCGATGCATTGGGCAGAAATCAACACTTTAGCACACTAATGGGTCCTCGTAAAAACAATTTAAAATTTTTCCTCTTAAGCTGCTGTTAAAGGCACAAAGCCATTACCAGTAAAAACAAAATGCAGCAAAGGCCACCACCCCAGGAAAAAAAACAAGAGTATTTTGTGGAAGATACATCCATCACTAGCTGTAGGCTGAAACCTCCATATTTGGTGGCAGTGCATCTTTGAGTATGTACCCATTCTTGCACAGACACACACATGTGGACAAGACGTTGCCATCAAGTTATGTTTTGGGATTGCCTAGTTACAAGCCAGAGATGCTGGCTGTATCATTTAGAAAATGTTAGACAGAGCAGCTTGAAGCTTCTTCTAGCCTGTCTCTTCTGTGGCAGTACCTTTCCTTTGCTGCAACTACATGGTGTCCTATTTGCTCGTTATTTTTCTGTACGTGGGACGTCCAGGTTATGACTCAGGGTGCTTCCAGATGAAGGTTTTACTATACGCCTTTTCACAGACTTTTACAAGGCAGTCCTCTCGTTTTTAATCCTCCCATGTTTTCCCTAGCATTTCTTTTGTCTTTCTGCCCTTCAAAAAACAAAAGCAAAAACAGCTAAAGGGAAAAATATGGGAAAGCGGCTTGGCTGTCAGTTCTGATGATGAGCTTCTCGAGAGTGGAGCCTCTGGCAGGCCACAGTAGAAACAGCAGGCCAGAGGAGAAGAGCACGCAATTTTACGCAGAAAAGAGAAACTTCTTGTTGATAAGATACTGGCGGCAGCACCTTGAGTGGTTTGTTCAGCATGCTTCAACACAATCCTTTTCATCAGACAGGTTGCCCTGTCCCAGTTTGACGGGCACAAAGGGTGAGATCTAGGGCCATGACATGACCTCCTGAAGGTTTTAACTGGAACTTGGCTGACTGTATAAGGAGGTAAGCAACTGATGGCAACTGTGTGTATTTCTCAGGGTTCCTTCTGTTCCGAGACTTCTGCCTGAATCAGATGGAGGAGGCCAAACCGTTGGTGGAATTCTATGAAGAGGTGAGGCTTTGACGGTGGGAGAAGGTCCCTATTCCTCCGGTGTGTTCAAACCAGGATTGCCTTCTTTGGGTCTGACACACCAAGGTTTGAATTTCCTTTTTGACACGAGAGAGAGGTCATTTGCCCCAACTAGCCCTGGCATGCTAAAGGAGAGGACTTTAGAGAGTTCTTTCCAAAGATGAAGAAGTGTCTTTAGGAAGGAGTGAAACCGAACATTAGGTTGTGCCCAGTGGCTGCATCTGTCCATGGAAGAGATTCTGCTGGTGGAGTAGATCTCTTCTCCCCTGTGCCTTCCTGCAGCCATAGAGGCCTCCTTCAGAGAGTCAGGTGGAGGGCATGGTTTTTACTGTTGTGCCGAAAGCAAAAACTGCCTCATCAGATTACAGTGAAATAGTCTCCACTCAGAGGTTTCCATCTTACTTTTTAATATTTCTAGCAGCCATGTCTCTGCCGGCCCTTCCTCTCCCTCCCTGGCAGCATAATTTGAAACTTGTTCATTACAGCGGGTGAGAAAAGGGTCAGGTGGCACAATCAGGGGGAAACTGGGTGTGAGAACCAAACTTGTTTCATCACCCAGTTCATCTAGGAATGTAAAGATACAGGAAGAATCTCTAGGTTATGACCTAGAAACCCTATTTAGGACAGAGTGTAGTACTTTAAAAAAAATCTGACGGGATGTGTGTGAAAGGTATGAGAGAAGCATTTGAAGATGACAAAATATTCTATTTAAAGGGGCAAAATCAGGTGTTTTATATTATGTTTTTAAAACTGTATAATATTCTATGTATATAGTACATGGAATTTTTTCTACAGTATTTGAATTGAAATTTTACAATATAGATCTAAAGAGAAATCTTTGTTGTGACTTTTTGGTGTGATATTAAGATCATTTGTGTGCAGGGTGGATAAAAACCAACGCTTTTAAAAATCAAATTAATTTAAATCAGAAAAATTGATTTAAAAAAAATTTAAATGGAAAAAATGTTTTTTTAAAAAATTTAAATTGTAATTTAAATTGCTTTTAAAAATCAAATTAATTTAAATCAAAAAAATTGATTTTTAAAAAATTTAAATGGAAAAGATGTTTTTTTTTTATTTTAAATTGTAATTTAAATCAAAATCAAATCCACCCTGTTTCCATGTCTTCTAATTCTGGTTCCTGACCCTTTTGACTTCATTTAATGTCACCTTTGTTGACACTGCTACCCTGCTTTAATGTATGCCCTCTACTCAAAGGAAGATACAATAATAAAATAAATGAAAAAGACCTTGCTCCAAACGTTGCCTTCCAGTAATTTGGATGCAGAAGAGGACAGGTGTAGGATTTGAGGAAGTTCTTTCTCCTTCTCTCCCCCCCCCCCATTCCCCTTTACTGGTGGGCCTCATATAATCTGTCTCGGGGGAAAAGCACATTTGTGGCGCTTGCATCTGTGATGTGACTTAGCCTGTTTTCTCCAGATCAAAAAGTATGAGAAGTTGGATTCTGAAGAGGAACGAGCTATTAAGAGCCGCCAGATCTTTGACACATACATCATGAAGGAGCTGTTGTCCTGCTCTCACGTGAGTGCCCTGCATGCCTCTTCTCACAAGAGAGAGTAAAGAAAAGTCCCTTCACAATTGGCATGAAATCCACTTCTGATCACCTTGAATGAGATCTTGGAAATGTAATGCTACATGGACTGTGTGGGAGGAGCTTACCAACCAGCATGATGCATGCATCCTTTTCACCACCAAAGTACTTTTTAGCAATTGCTAAGAGGCACAGGCAGCCCCCATAGAACAACCCACCCCAGCTTTCATTACTTCTTTTTGGCCTACCAGTGACAGGCAGCGGCTCCTTTCCTGCCAATGGCTGGTCTTTTTGTGATTTGTGGGTCATTACTTAGGGCAGCCCATCCTGAAATGTTGTGTCTTTGCTGCTGCTTTCACCTTTCTTTAGAACAGCAGTGTACAAATCATAGCCTTTTAGTTGTTGTTGGACTACAACTCCCATCCCCCTCCCTTCTCAGTGACTGTACTTGCCAGAGACGATAGGACTTGCAGTTCGAAAACATTTCTACCCTTGCTTTAAAGCCATATAGTTCTGCTGCAAAAGCACACAGTATCTGAAGCTTCATGTCTTGCTATTATTCCTCCTTCCAGGCATGACACTGTGTGTGTTGTGGCATTGTTCACTGCTTGTGTGTGTCCTGCAGTTTCCTCACATTCTCACTTGTTGGCTGTGGGTTCAGGGAAATGCAGATTGGAGTGATGCAGCATCTTGTCCTATGTGCATATATTCTGCATATTCTCTTGCACAGCTTTGAACTGTGATGTTTAGCCAGTACGGCCACTGACTATGATATGATGTCTTGCGCTGGGACATCTGGTTCATTTTCGTGCTCAGATCAAACAGGAAAGAAGGAAAGACGAAGAGAACTATAGAGAGAAGGGGCTGCTGGCAAGGGACAGCAACAGGAGACAACCCAGGAGTATGTTTGGTGAGACGGTCCCTTCCATCCTGGGAACTGCTGGAAGATAGGCTGTGTATTCAGAAGGTTCCAGCTGCAGTCTCTTGTAACTCAAATTCAAAGGGTGACATAGTAATTGAAGGAACAGATCGTTTTCTGCCTTGTCCCCGGAGAGTAGCTGCCAACCAGAGTAGGCAGCATAGGGCTAGAAAGAGAAATAATCTGAACCATGTAGATGCTTCGAAAGCAACAACAGATCCTTGAAGCCTCAGAGCAATGGGTTTGGTGGGAATTACACATGGACAATATGTATCTGACAAGAGAGCAGGAGATTGGATTTCTTGTAGTTTGTGGAGTTAGGAAGAAGTAGTAGACACTAGAGGCCTCAGAGGCAGGTTGTAGTAATACAATATAATAAAGCTTGTGCCACATGTTTTTGTCTTTTTTTTGTTTTGTTTCTTTGAATTTTGCCTGATAGGCTTGCACAGACTTAACACAGCTACCTCCTCGAAAACTAAGTCTAACTCAGACTCTGCCTTCTAGTCCTTTCTGTTCTCATGATACCTTGTTTCCTGTATGGATAGTTTGGCTCTTGCTCTCCTTAGCCAAAGTGTTATACCAGCAGAGTTGGAACTGAGGTTACCCATGATGTACCTACCTGCTGCTTGGCCCTGACTCTTCTGCCCAATGGAAAGCTGGCAGCAGTCCTCGTCGTCGTTTAGTTGTTTAGTCGTGTCCGACTGTTTGTGACCCCATGGACCAGAGCACGCCAGGCCCTCCTGTCTTCCACTGCTTCCCGTAGTTGTGTCAAATTCATGTTGGTTACTTCGATGACACTGTCCAACCATCTCATCCTCTGTCATCCCCTTCTCTTGCCGTCACACTTTCCTAACATCAAGATCTTTTCCAAGGAGACTTCTCTTCTCATAAGATGGCCAAAGTACTGGAGCCTCAGCTTCAGGATCTGTCCTTCCATTGAGCACTCAGGGTTGATTTCCTTTAGAATGGATAGGTTTTTTCTCCTTGCAGTCCAGGGGACTCTCAAGAGCCTCCTCCAGGACCACAATTCAAAAGCCTCAATTCTTCAGCTGTCTGGTTTCTTTCTAGGCAGCAGTCCTACTCCAAGCTTATCTGTTTTTCTCTCTTCCATACAGCCCTTCTCCAAGACAGCAACGGAGTATGTGCAGAGCCGCCTCAGCAAAAAGCAGGTGCCACCTGATCTCTTCCAGGTAATTCCCTCTTGGCAGGCTAAAAGGAGTCTACCAAGTTTGAAACCTCATTTGTTACAGATGGGAACACAGGCATATTTAGAACCAATATCTACGTAAGACAAAGATCTGAGCAAAGTTGTTTGTGTGCAGACTGAACCATGGCCTGGTGCAGCTGATATTTCTCAGTCTGTACCAGTGACCTGGAGTAAGAGGCCAGGGATTTCAACTACAGTCGTGCCCCGCTTAACGATTACCCCGTATAACAACGAATCCGCTTCACAACGATGTTTTTGCGATCGCAATTGTGATCGCAAAACCATGTTTTAATGGGTTTTTTTCACTTTGCGATGATCAGTTCCCTGCTTCGGGAACCAATTCTTCGCATTACGACGATCAAAACAGCTGATTGTCGGGTTTTCAAAATGGTCACCGGCTGCTCAAAATGGCTCCCCGCTGTTTTTAGGAGGCATTTTTCGCAAGACAGGCACCCGAAAATGGCAGCCGTATGGAGGATCTTCGCTGGACAATTAGGTATTTCGACCATTGGAATGCATTAACCGGTTTTTAATGCGTTTCAATGGGTTTTTAAATTTCATTTGACTATGTTTTCGCTCTACAGCGATTTCGCTGGCATGAATTAACATCGTCAAGCAAGGCACCACTGTACTGTACTTTGAACATTGCAGGGGCCAGAGAGAAGGGAATTGGAATCCATAGGTTGAAGAGTTAGTGGGTAGATTCTTGGTGTTTATCCTCATCTGTCTGCTGTTTTTGCCAGCCATACATTGAAGAGATCTGTCAGTGTCTGAATGGGAATGTCTTCCAGAAGTTCATTGAAAGGTGAGTGCTGAGGGATGTCGCTACTCTGCCCCCATTGGGATAAATGACAAAATGGTACAGTGCTTCCGTTCAGTTTTCAAACCGGGCAACGGTACTTTTATTTTCAGCCATTCTTTTTCCCTCCGTTCTTCTTCCTTTCCCCATCACAGTGTTCAGTTGGCATTCCATGCTCAGGAATTGTGCTTTGTCCTTACCGAGTTGTTATGTGGAAGAATGGGGGTCTTAGGAATTTCTATCCCAACCCAAAGTCTTTTATTTATTTTTTATTTTTTTGTACTTCTGCGAAACTTGGGGGTTCATTCCTCTGGTTTCTGTCTTGTGTGTGGGAGAGTAAATTTCTTACTAGTACATAGGATATAGTGTCATTCTACAGTCTGCCGCTGCCTGGGGAAATCCTTGACAAACAACAGCTGATGGGAAAGAAATACCTGGAGGACACTGAGCAAGTTCTCTCAGAGGAGACTAATGGGGAAAATTATGATGAGACTTGGAACATGTTTCTGTGTAAACCTACCTACAGCTGGCTTGCAGTGGAGACGAAGCTTTTAGAGGCTGATTGCCATAATTTAAGAACTCTCTGTAGACTTTGCCGAGTCAGTACTGTAGTGTGCAACAGAGATAATGTCTATGGACACTTTTTAACTTACAGCCATTCACTTCAAAAAGTTGTGCCATTTGTGTAACTGCACAACAGGATTTCAGCCACCATTTCATTTCTGGCCTACTTGTGTGAAGGAGTTTCTGTAAATTAAGGTTGCCAGGATGTTTGACTTGGCAGAAAGGTTTGGTGAAGAAGCTGAGTGGTGTGTACATGTGCTTATGTGAGAGAAGGAGTATGAGAGAGAGAGAGAGTGTGTGTATTTTCTTTCATTTCTCCTCCCTCTGTTCTGTTTTAGTGACAAGTTCACACGCTTCTGCCAGTGGAAGAATGTGGAGCTGAACATCCATGTGAGTGCCTAAAGTTGGGAAGGCATTTATGAGAGCTGGGATGATAAGGAAAGAGCTGTCAAAAGACACAGAGCATAAGCCTGCCTGCAGCCATTTTTATCATATCATGGCAGGGGGTATGATATTTTCAGAAATCTGGTAACACGTGACCCAGCTTCTGGAAGCTCACAGTACCTACAAGAAACTTGAATGGTTGCTGTCTTTTCTTGGTAAATGAGGTTGACAATTTGGGGGCTCTGAGTCAATTGACAGAACTTCAGGATGGAATTTAGACTGGTGCCCAGACAGGAGTGGGAAACATGTCAGCCCTCAAGATGTTTTGGACAATGGTTCCCACAGTCCCTGACCTTGCTTGACTGGAAGTTAACAAGAACATCTGGGAGGTTATAGGTTCCTTCCTCCCATCATACAGGGAGCCTTACACATGTAAGAACATGTTGAGTGTTCACATAATTAACGAATGCTTAAATCAGGTTACGAAGCTACCTGTGCAGCCATGACTGGAGGGGAAGGAAGTGCATGTGGCATATGACCCTAGACATGGTAGGGCCAGCCTTGAAAACTTCAGGGAGATCAGCCATGCTCCATTTTCGCCCCACAATGCTATCGGGGCAAAATAGTGCCCAGGCCCCTTATGGCATTAACATTCTTGTCCTGCTCTCTTTTTCTCTTTATCTTTGTTGCGTTTTTCTTGCCCTGTGGGACCCAGCTGACCATGAATGACTTCAGTGTCCACCGGATCATTGGACGTGGAGGCTTTGGCGAGGTCTACGGCTGCCGGAAAGCAGACACAGGCAAAATGTAATGTTCAGGATGATTTTGTCAAATTGTTATGAGACTCTCTCAAGAACAGGACTAGTGTGGACAGAGAAATGCTCCTCAGCAATCCCCCTTAGCTTATTCCAGCAGACAGGATTTTCCATACATTTCATAGGCTTGTCTTTTCAACAGTGCTCTTCTATATTTGTACCATGGCAATGTACTCTGTACCCTATGAAAGAGAGCATAACATTATGTATAGACATGGCTCTGGCTTGTCACAGTGGTAGGGGAGAATGGTAGTGTTGGCCATATCTGATATTTGAGCTCCCAGGCAGCCCTACTGGTCCCCAGCACTAACATAAGTAAGTCCATAAGAACATAAGAAGATCCCTGCTGGATCAGGCCAAGGGCCCACCTAGTCTAGCTTCCTGTATCAAACAGAGGCCCCACCAGATGCCTCGGGGAGCACATGAGACAACTAGATACCTGTCTCCTGATACCTCTCCCCTATATCTGGCATTTTGTGGTACCTTCCTTTTAGGCCTGGAGATTATACATCCCCATCATGGCTTGTAACCTGCAATGTACTTTCCTTGAGGAATCTGTCCAGTCTCCTTTTCAAGGCATCTAGGCAGATGCCATCACCACGTCCTGTGCCAAGGGGTTCCACAGACTAACAACATGCTGAGTAAAGAAATATTTTCTTTTGCCTGTTCTCTCTCCCAACACTCAATTTGAGTGGATGTCACCTGGTCCTGGTATTGCGGCGTGAGGGAAAAGAGCCTGCTCTCACCATTCTGGCCCCAGCGGGAAGCAGAGTTATCTGTGGCCATTTTGCAGCTTGCTTCTGTCTTCTGGATACCCACAAGCAGTGCCAGTGTAAAGTGCAGAACACTCAGAAGAGTGTATGAAACATCAAAGAAAACAATGGCTGCCTGTGTAGTGTCAGTAACTCCGAGTTTATTCGCTAACTGAAATGTCAAGACAGCTGGCAGCAGAATAAAGCACAGTAAGACAACATAATAAAAACAGCAAGAGGCAGTATAAAACCTGTAAAATAAAGTCGGACCCAATCAAACAAGACACGAGATAGAGGGAAGGGAGGTGATTAAAAAGACAGATCAAATGCTTTGTAGAACCTGAACAAACCAGGTGCCCGTCATCTGAAAGTAAATAGTGAAAAGCACCCAGTGCATGTGTTTAAAAAAAGAAATTCCATTATTTGGGCTACATCAGCAGGCAGGCCTTCTCATCTTATTGCCACCAAGTAAAGAGCTTCTAGCTAAGATCTTAATGTCCAGGCACATTCATGTGAAGAAATACAGTGGTGCCCCGCATAGCGACGATAATCCATTCCGAAAAAATCGTTGCTATGTGGATTCGTCGCTATGCCCGTTTAAAAGCCCGTTTAATGCGTTCCTATGAGCAAAAAACTCACCGTTATGCGGAAATCCTCCATGCGGCTGCCATTTTTGCTGCCCGGTAAGCGAGGAAAGGGCAGGAAAACACAGTGGGCGGTCATTTTCTTTACCCGGCGGCCATTTTGGAACCACCGATCAGCTGTTTAAAAAACCATCGCTATGCGAAAATCAGTAAGCGAAACACTTACCGATCATCACCAAAGCGATGTTTTACCATTAGAAACATCCCAATGCGATCGCTTTTGCAGTCGCAAAAAACATCGCTATGCGGATTTGTCGTTAAACAAATTGCTCGTTATGCGGTGCACCGCTGTAATCCTTCAGACAGCCAAGACTACTACTTTCCTGGTAGCTACAAAATACTTCTTGTCTAGCTACAGCAGATTAAACGTGACTGGAGACAGAGTTATTTGCTTTTGATTGATTTTATTTTATTTAGAATTTTATAGAATAAAAGAAGTGTGTGTAGAATGAAACACAAGTGCCAATGAGCCTCATGATCTCTTGACTAAAGATATGCCTCGTTTGCCTCCTGGTGTACCTGACAGTAGAGAGGGCCAGGATTTTTCTTGTGCTAAAGGTGCTATCTCTCCAATTTGAAAGAATTCCAGATTCATATCATACCTACGTATACATTTCCCCTTTACTCTTCCCTTGTGAGTGGGATTAATTGTGTGGTACTTTGCTTTGGAAAACTCCACCATTTGACCAAGCCAAATACAATAGCTGTGAGCATTTTCACTTCCCTTTTACGTGCTGAGAACCAGCTGGCAGAAAGTGTCCTGGTGAAAATAAAGGGGAATATACTCTTATCTGTTGGCAAACTGGGCAATTTTTGTTTAGGGGTGCCAGGGAGGTTCCATGGTGAGATCACAGGGATGTCTCTGGCAAATCCATTCCCATGAAAAGCTGGAGGGTTTGGAGGAATCTTAACACAGTCATAACTGGAAGCTCCATTAGTAGGAGGACATGTGTAGCTTCTATGGAGGAGGCATTCAGACTCTTCTGGAGGGGTGTCTGCAGGGATGGCTCCTTCAGCAGTGGCATTACCAGCAATCCACTGCAGGAAGTAACAGCAGGCTGTTGCCTCTTTCTCTCTTGACAGGTATGCCATGAAATGTCTGGATAAGAAACGAATTAAGATGAAGCAAGGAGAGACACTGGCCCTGAATGAGCGCATCATGCTGTCCCTTGTCAGCACTGGGGTGAGCTGGGCTGCCTTGAGCGAATGGACCAGGGAGGGAGGAGGGAACAGGCCAGTCTGGAGTCTCCCTAGTAAATCAGCTTCCTGCCATGGGGGAAGTGGAGTGATGCAGCAAATGCACAGAAGGGGCAGGGCGGGGCGGGGGAACCAGGCTTTGTGCTTAGATTCAAAGCTATGATACACCCGTGTAGATGTGGCAGACAGTTTGTGGAACATGCTGGGCATGAAGGGGGAGGACAAGGTGAGCAGGAGGTGATGTTGAGCATGTGGTTCCAAGTGTGACGTCTGCAGTAAGCTAGCAGCAGGGTTGGGATGTATGTAGGCAGTGCAGTGAATATTATACTCAGGGAAGGGGAGGAGAGGCCATGCAGTGAGTGTGGGGGCAAGAGATGTGCATGGGTGTGGAAGGAAAAGCAGAGACGTGTGTGCAGGAAAGTGACTTGTGTAGCAGGAGGGGCAAGCCCACTGTGGGTGTATATGACAAGTCTTTCTCTCTCTCTCTCTCTTTCTGTGTGTGTGTGAGAGAGAGAGAGAGAGAGAGAGAGAGATGCAGTTACGCAGAAAGGTTATGTGATGGTTGTGTAGGAGTTGGTGCAAAGGACAGTGTGAAAACTGTGGAATGACAGCTAGGGGTTAAGGGCTGAACCAGCCAGTGGAAGAGGCAATGCTAGTGTATGAAGCAAGAGCTTGAAAGATGTGTTGCGCAACCTAGTCCCACATTGCCAAATGTATGTGTATTTGCATGCAAAGAAGAATATGTTGCATAGCAGATATGTTCAGGGTTGTATCAGAGAGTGCTGAAGGGAATTGTGAATATATACAGCAGTGTAGGAAAACGTGTATAGGTGGGAGCAGAGGTTCAAGCAACGGATCATAGGAAAATTGTCCACCTATGTGTCCATGAATGTTTTCTGATTTATTTTCCCCCCTCCCCCCTTGCTATGACATTGCTCCTTCTGTCTCTGCCAGGATTGCCCATTCATCGTCTGCATGTCATATGCCTTCCAAACGCCTGACAAGCTCAGCTTCATCCTGGACCTTATGAATGGTGAGAGCCAGGAGCCTGCCTAGAATAGCCCTACCTCCTCTTCCGCGACCTCCTCCTCCTCCTCCCCCCCTAGGTCTCTTTTCAAGGGACTCCTTCCCACTCCATTGCTGCCTCTCTGCCCCTTACCCCTGCTCATGTCCAGCCGGTGTTCATCGCATGGGTTTCTCCTCTTCTTCTTGCAGGAGGTGACCTCCATTATCATCTCTCTCAGCATGGAGTCTTCTCTGAGGCCGAGATGCGTTTCTATGCAGCGGAGATCATCCTAGGGCTGGAACACATGCACAATCGCTTTGTGGTTTATCGTGACCTCAAGGTGAGACAAGGCACCTCGTCCAGCCCAGTTGTTGCACCATCGTTGCCCAGCAGAGTCACCTGCCCTACCTGTTGTCTTTTCCTACAGAGGGAGCTAGTTCCTGGCTATCTTCAGCATAGGGGTCCTCAGTGCTGCCCTCCTGCCTACACATAAAACAAAATCTACTTTTCAAAACCTGTTGGCAAGGTTTCTGTCTCCACAATGTATACTTGTAATGTAAAACTTGTGGCTAAACATTTCACTCAGTGTGTCTGAGGAAGTAGATGGTAATACATGGAAGCCCACACTGAAATAGATGGGTTGTTCTTTAAGGTGCCACAGTATTTGTTGTTGTTTTTTTTTAATTTGGTTATACATAGAACACAGTTCACTCGGATGCCATGGTGAATGACACTCGCACAGAGCTGTGCCACCCTTCTCTCTGTGGAAGCCAGCGTTAAGCTGCGTGTCATGACTCATTTTGGGTGGCAGTGTATTCCATTGCAGGATGCCAAAATCTAAAGACTGCCACCTGCTTCTTCAGAAAATGGAGATGCACAGATACAGATGCATCCTACTTTACCAGAGGAAGTAGAATTTGTTCCTAATATCTCCTGATGAAATGCATTGGCGCTTGAAAAGCTTTGGGATTTGATCCCATGGTTTATTATGCTGTTTGACACCCACTCACTTTGAATAACAGTTGTCACTTTTTATGAAGTGGAAGGGAATGAGTGTGTGTTCCTTGTTTTGTACAGCCCCATCTAAGCATTCTTTTTCTTCGTGTGAGTAAAACTGCATGTGCAGAAACGCTGGGAGAGGAGGGATCAGCAAACTCTGCTTCTGCCAGCAGGTCTTCGTTTTCAATCCTCTGGCAGTTGAAGGGCCACCTTCTAAGGAGGGGCATCTGCACATGTGGAGTTGCCTAGGAAGTCAGGGTTTCGATAATATGAGGAGCAGCCATGAGTTAGAAGCTTCGCACTTCAGCAGTTTGTCTTTCAACTCATGGAAGGCCAGAAATAAGAGGGAAATAGCCCTTGAGTGAGTGTGGAAGTTGCTACATGCATGCAGAAAGACATGCTCACCCACCCACGATTTTGTTCATGTGAGGAACACATCCAGATGAAGGGGTATATTATAAGTTCCTAGTTATTTCAGATTTGAGTCTAACCACCACCAAAGCTGAACTCTTCTTCAGTTTGCCCAGAGAGAATTGCCTTTATCTCTCAAATCCCATAGTAGGCAAGTTAAAATATGACGGAAGAGGACTTGTGTTTTTGTGTTCTCGCTCTCACACACTGGGCCCCAGCCCTCCTTCCTCCTCAAGATATTCTGTTCTCCTTACAGCCTGCCAACATTTTGCTGGATGAGTTTGGCCATGTCCGCATCTCAGATCTGGGCCTTGCATGTGATTTCTCCAAGAAGAAGCCTCATGCGAGTGTGTGAGTATCCAACAAAGCATTTATTCCTCAGCCCATAAGGGTTTTCTCTACTGTCTCTTCCTACTCTGTGGCTGACTCCTTCCCCAATAGGTGTGGCAGAATAATGGCTAGGGAGACCCTCTCCTCTCTCCCCTTCTTCCCCAACATCCTCTACATGCAGCTCCCAAGAGTGATTTGGGTCCCCTCCAAACCCCCCCCGGCCCAAGTTAAAATGTTGGGGTTTTTTTGTGAAAAAAAATCATTTGTTCAGAAAGTTCTTTTGTGCCCTCAAAGGGTTTTGGGACAATCTCACCATGTTTTTGTCCCCTTCAGTATCACTGACCCCCAATGGCTCCCCATTAATTTTAAAAAGTGGCTAATAGCAGACATGAGGGAGCTTTTTCAGTATTTAAATTTGGATTTTGTTGTTACTAAACTCATTTTTCAGGTAAAAAAAACTCCTTGGACCATTCTCTCCAAATACTTATAATAATAATAAACATCAAATATGCAGATGAGTCTTTTGAAGCACACCTCTCCCCCCTCTTCCTTAGGAGTCCATCCCTTGGCCTGCTGGCAAATCTGAAAAGTGACCCTTGACCCTGTGAGATCACACACACCCTGGTTTAAATATTTATTCCAATACTGTATGCCGTGGAGATCAATGTTGCGTTAGCTTCCTCACTGGTGATATTTTATATTTGTACTCCAGCCTATATGTAAACAAATTATCTGCATCTCATAGATTTGTAATCTACTGATTACAGGTCTCAGCCCTGCACATTCTGGGCTATCCATTCAAAGGCTTGCATGAGTGAAGTAACTTTTGGAAGGCATTGGGTAGGATAACCCAGTGTTAACCCAGTTCCTAACTGTTGCAAATGTCTTCATTCCAGGGATGGGAAATTTTGCTTTTTAACTCATAAGAGTCCCATAGGCAGCAGGGCCTTACTGGCTGAATTACTGAGGCAATTATAGTCCAAAAAATCAACTTCCTTTAGCTCTGCATTATTTGATATTTGTTAAATCCTTTTTAAATATCGTAACCAATTTATTATTTGGTTTTTAACTTTGTTTCTTTTTATACTGTAAGCCACCTTGGATCCAAGGAAGGCAGCATATAAATATTCTAAATATATAAATAAATGATTCCCCAGAAAGTGTGAGGAGCCCCTGTTGATTGATAACTGGTGTTGCAAGGACCCTTATCTTTGCTAGAGTTTCCAGTTGAAACCACTTCCATGCACAGAAAGTTCTTGTTACTTGTGATTTTACACCAAATGGCATGCATAAAGGGGTTGATATATATCTCTCCTTACAGAGCCCATGTTACCAAATGCAAAAGTGCAAATCTTTCCCACGGGAATCAGTTGAGATGTTTTCCAGTGACACCTTCTGCTGGGGGCCTCCAGCACATTTTCGTTAACTCCTGGTTTATTCCATCCCTACAGTGGCACACATGGGTACATGGCGCCAGAGGTGCTGCAGAAGGGTGTGGCCTACGATAGCAGTGCTGACTGGTTCTCTCTAGGCTGCATGCTCTTCAAACTACTGAGGGGGTAAGTGGGTAGCATGGAAGGAGGGTTCAAGGTCTAGAAAGACCGCAGGGGTGGGAGGGAAGCAAGGAGGCCTGACTGGCAGGGAGAGCTGTGGTTAAAGTGGGCATTAGCCTGGAGGGATCGGCACTGCTGAAACTGAGAACAAGTACCTGAGGGAAAAAAAGAGTTTTAAAGGGGTGCAGGTGAGAAAGGCATCTCTTTTGACACTTGCCTTGGTGTTATCTCAGGCATAGCCCCTTTCGGCAGCACAAGACTAAGGATAAACACGAGATCGACCGCATGACACTCACGATGGTAAGCCACTTTTGCCTCTCATGCTTGTCAGGGATCTGTATTGACCGGAAATCATGGTGGGACTGAGCTTTGCACCTCTTAGTCCTTTGGTTCTACAAAGTCTCAGCCACCCCGACTGTACTCCCATTTCCAGAGATGGGAAATGTTACTTTTTGGGGCTACACCTCCCAGAATACCTCAGGCAGTGTCTAAAAAAGTAAAGTGTCCCATGTAACAGTCCCCGACTGTAAGCATACCTTTGCCTTTCAGAGATCAATAAATGGATTGCCATACAGTTATGTTACACACAAGAGGTGGAAGAAGTTACTGTTTTAACACTTTTGCCACAAGTTTCTCCTCTGCTGAATTCCCAGATCAGTTGTCCCCAGATTTTGGACCAGTCCCTGCTTCTATTATTTTCAGTGTATTCTGGTTGGTCATGAGTCAGTGTTTGTATATTTGCATGTGGGAAGCGGGGAGAAGGACGCAAAGTATGTTTCTTACAATTGGCCTGGTAATTTTGGTGTTTTCTTTAGGAACCTCAGTAGATCAGGGGTCTTCTATTTTTAGCACCATACAGACAATAGCAAAGAAATTCCCTCCCCCAGAGAACTTATGAAGACAACAAACAGATGCTATTCAGTTCGACTCTGTGGTAATTGTTTGGCAGAGCAAACTGTACAACTCTTGCCAAGGTGTCCAGGCCATCAGACTTTGGGGGAGAGAGGTGCCCCACAGACAGTGCAATCAAATGCTCTTGTCTGGCACATTCCAGTCATGTTCTGTCTGCTCCTGGGCATTCAGTGTGTGTTGACTGCAGAGTTTTGGAACGGAAATTATTTTGAGTTCTCTTTGTGTTAGTTGTTCAGGCTTCACTTCCAAAGCAGAGTAGCGCCCATCCTGAAAAGCTGGATTCAGACTGAAAGCTTGACCATGAACTTGCTATTAGGCAACTCACTATTGCTCAGGCAGCTCTGATGTCTATAAAATGGGAATAATAGAGTCCTACCATGAAGAACGGCTGTGAGACTCAAGCTGTACATTGTTTTGCAAATTAATAATGGTGCTTAAAATACACATTTAATATTGTAAAATAAACAAATAAGCAAGCGAGACCTAATATATAGGGTCCCCCCCACTGCTTTCTCCAACTAATCAGCATCATCCTGCCTGCAACAGCTCCAAAGCATGCTCAGTTTTCAGTAGGAGTTGAGATTTTCTCTCTGACAATGTTTTTCCTTTAACATTTTTATTTCTGCAAATCTTATGGTCATCTCAAGCCTGTTGATACCACAGTCTTATGCATGAGTTGTTCCATTTTGGCCTCATAAGCAACAACTGCTACAGAGAGACATCAGAAATAGAGGGAATTGTAGCATGCTTCAGTGGGTGGGGAAGTAGCCTTTCTCATCACAGCACATACCTTGCCAGTCGTGAAGTTTTCTAGTAAATGCATTGCAGAGAATAGAAAGCTTATATTCATAGAAAACCCATGTAAAACATACAGTGAGCCCTTCTGGAACAGTCCAGAGGTCAATTTAGCCCAACATCCCATTTCCAAAAATGGTAAGCCAAACATTTCCCTGAAGCCACTGTTCCAAGAGTGAAAACCAAAGCTCTCCTTTCTGGACATCGCACTTCAAGAAGGACGCTGACAAATTGGAACAAGTTCAGAGGAGGGCAACAAGGGTAATCAGGGGACTGGAAACCAAACCTTACGAGGAAAGACTGAAAGAACTGGGCATGTTTAGCCTTGAGAAAAGACTGAGGGGGAGATGTGATAACAATTTTCTAATACTTGAAAGACTGTCATACAGAGGAAGGGCAGGATCTGTTCTCGATCATCCCAGAATGTAGGACACACAATCATGGGCTCAAGTTATAGGGTGCCAGATTTCAGTTGAATGTCAGGAAAAACTTCCTAACTGTTAGAGCAGTATGGCAATGGAATCAAATACCTTGATTTCTCTTGAATGCAGGCAAAGAGAAATTTAGACAACCGCCTTGCGGATATCATTTGATTGGTATTCCTGCTTTCTAGTAGATTCATGCTTTCCATGAATCTACTAGATTCATGGAAAGCAACCAAGCACATTACCATAGTCTCTCAAGACTGAAAGATGCCTACAGTGCAGTAGATTCATGCTTTCCATGTCTGTCTAGTGCCTGCTGGGTGTTACATCTCAGGCAGTGAGATGTTCTTTTCCTGTCCTGGGTGTGGAGGTGATGAAAAGTCCCCCTATCTCCCATTAGTTTAGGTGTGGGTACACAGGTGGTATGGTTGCACCTGTTGGCCTGTAGGATTATTTCAGAATGTGTAATGTGTATGGGGAGAGTGTGTGGATTGTAAGCTATATGGATGATTTGGCTGCTGTTGCCACTGTTGCTGCTTCTAGAAAATCACAGATTTCATTCTCCTTCCTGGCTGAGCATCGTAACTCATGTTTTACACTAGGTTTCTTGGGAGTGTAAGCTCCCTCCCACGGCCCTTTTGCACACAATAGAGCTTGGTAGTGCTGACAGCAAGGGGAAGAGTGAAAAGAGGGAGACAATACAGATCATCACGATCAGCTCAGATTGTGATGCATCAGCAGCTGAACTGTTTGACAGGCCTCTAAAGACACCTTGGTGAAAGAAGGAGAGGAGGGGAGGAGTTGTGGGGAAAAGCAAAGAGGAGACAGATCTGGCTGTTTGCAGTCAACCACTGCATTCTCTTGGGTCAAGTTGCAGAGAGAAAAAATAGTTACGAGCAAGCAGGCTGGACAAAAAAAGGCTGCTATCTGCCGGAGATCAGAGTGGTGGTGAGCGTGTGTGTGAAATGTTTGTCGGCTGAAGTGGCATTAGTGTAGAGACACCTGTAATGGTTGCAGTGATGGTGGAGACTGAGGATTTCTACAGCTTTGGGATGGTGAACTTTTTCCCCCTGTGAAGGTAATTGACTCAAGGGAAAAGTCGCCTGGGGGCTAGTGCTGATGCTTGACAAGAGTCAGTGATGAGCAGAACCAAAACTGGCTGGAGTGTGCAGGATTCTACAGCTTTCCCACTTTCTCCCCCATCTAGTTGTCCCTTACTCACATTCTTACATGTGCCCACACACTCAGCAGAAGAGGAAGTGATTTTTAGAAGGCAGTTGAGGTAGTAAGAGTGGGCCTGTAGTGTTCAGATCGCCAGGGATCCTAAAAGCCACATGAAATGGAACTGGGGGTCACTTGTGACTCTGGGGCTGTAGACTTCCCACCCGCTTCACTCCATCTCCTCTCTTCTGTTCCCTGTTTTTAGATTGTGACTGCACTGCTAATCAGTTGCAAGTAGCCTATTTTTTTCTGAGGAAGTTGCTTTAGTCCATGAAATAGGAGGTTTTGTCCCTTCTTGGCAGCATAAGTGAACCAACAGGCCTAGTCGTTCTTCACAGCTTATGCTCATGAGGCACAATGTTTGGAACATTGACCACAAATGCATGATGTGCAGGAACCATCTGCCTTGCTATGATATTTTGTTCTCAGCTTCCTATTCTATCCTGTCCGCCTGAGAACCAGGGATCTCACTGTGCCCTCTTTCTTTTCCCAGGCTGTGGAGCTGCCGGATTCCTTCTCACCAGAGCTGCGCTCCCTGCTGGAGGGGCTGCTACAGAGAGATGTGAACCGCCGCCTGGGTTGTATGGGCCGTGGGTGAGTCTTCTGCAGAGGAGCAGAAAGATCTTGGTTTAGGAGTTATCTAAGTGGACAGGGCATTTAAGGGTACCCATCTTTGTATGTTGAAAACAGCTGAAAAATTCTAAACAAAATAGAGTTTCGAACTCAGCTGAAAACATGTCACCCACTCGTCGTTAAAAAAAAGTGTAATTAATGACAAACACAATGTGTTCAGATGCTCTGGTTGCTACAAACAGGACGGGTTTAAAACATGACTGCTCTAGATATATATTAGATGCATTAAACTGAATGTATGCATGATGCTATAAGAAGCCCTGTTCAGGTGTTTTGCTTGAAAACACAGAGGATTCTAATGGCAGTCAAGGATAGGCTTTGCCCCAGTGTTTTCAACTGCCTGGAGGTAAGGCAGACCTTTTTGCATGTTCAGCTTTATCAGAACTCATAGACATAGGAATGTGGCATGTATGTTGAGGTGAACATGGAGAGGGGATGATGGGTATGGAGCTTATGTGCATCCCAACATCCTCACCTGGACTGGATGGAGCTCTCTGGGTTTTCAGGCTGTAGTACCTGAATGCTGTTATCATGTGACCAAGAAAAATGCTATAACTCCTTATTACTTAAATGCTCCCTCCTTCCCCATCGTATACATGTGCACATCCATACATTGGTGTTCTGCTGCTGTCTTGATGTACTGAAGCTTTCTACTTGCCCCTTTCTTCAGGTTCAGGAGTGGGTCCCAATCTGATGACTGAATTTCAATGAGCTAGGAGCTGGAATATACAGAGGGAGTTCAGGAATGTGCATTTGTACTTCAGCCTTATTATTAGGCTTAGCTCCAGGCTTTCCATGCATACACTGCTAAGCAGCGTATTTAACATAGGACCTGGAATCCCAAGGAATCACAGATCTCATTTGTTTAAAAACGAGCCATTAATAATTCCCAGGGAGCTCTCTGAAGCAGTTTAGAAGTCAAAAAGGGGACTATGTGAGGCTTCCAGTTATTACTGAGGATGTAACTTGCATACCATGCTCTTCCCTGCATTTTCCACCCTTGTCCTGGAATCTGTTGCTCTTCTACAACATCCCTCTGTCTTGATGCTCCACTGCTTCAGTCTTCGTTAGTAAATTTCAAGTATAGGGGCAGGGGGAGTCAAAACTGTGCAGTCAGAAGTGCTTAATAAAAAGTGGCTGTTTCCAAAGATGCTGTACAAATTATCATTACTTTTTTTAACATTCTGTTGCCTGTTGGCTATCCCTTCTAGGGGAATAGTGTGAACAGGATCCCCTTTTATGTTGGGCACTTCTATCATGGTGGGATGTTGAATTGCCGTTTTAACAATTAGTAGAGAGGCAAGGGGCTTAATTAATTCACCTTAGCCCCAGAACTGGACATTATACACTTTCAAGATAAAGGTGTACAATATAGAACTTGGTGTGTTTCATATACTGTAGGAACAAAATCATCTTTACTCACCTATGTATTAGATGACGTAGGCCTTTGCCTATGCATGTTTATGCAACAGTGAGTCAGTTAGTCTTTCAACAGCTATGTGTGTATTCTGCACTACCCAAATATTATGGCCAAACAATCCAAATTCTGTAAAACTATTTGGATGACTTATATACACATCCAGCAAGTGCACACAGTGTATTCTACCATGTGCATTAATTCTGTTGATTATTCATTTATTTTTGGATTTGCATAATTTGGCTTCAGATTTTTCTCTTTCATGGGGAGAGACAAGTCCCTATATAGCACACTGGCTCTGGCCCATCCTCTTTGAGTGGCAGTTCCGAGATGTCAGCAGCCTTTGATTGCATGCTTTCAAACTTACCTTCAGAGCCATGAAGTCTAGGAAAAGAGATCGGAAATGCTCTGGACTCTAGATTCTGCATCCACTATCAGATTGTTCTTCTGCACATGTGCAGAATTATGGATTTGTTTGCTGCAGTAAAACGGAACAGTTATTCCTTTGGAGGAAATAAGGCACACCACATCAAGTGGCCATAGAAGATAAAATCCCACAGATGCCAGAAGCAATAAGGCCAAGCTGAATTCTGATATGTTTTCAATGACCTTTTTCTCAATGGAATTTGATAGAGACAAAGGCAGCATGCTAGTTGTGTGCTTCTGTTCACAAAGGAGCTGTTGTCACCTAGCTTTCTGTCCACCTGCTGGTTATGCTGTGTTAAAAGAAGGGTTCAATATTGTCTGCTCTGATGCTTCCACCAGGGCCCTTGAAGTCAAGGAGAGCCCCTTTTTCCGGGATCTGGACTGGCAGATGGTTTTCCTCCAGAAGGTAGGCAAGATATCTTGGAAGGACAGACATGGTAGTCATGAGAAGTAAATATCCTTCTCAGCTATCATAAAGGAGGAAGAAATCAGAAGGGAAGGGTGACTTTCTTTTAGCTCTCAGCTGATTTTCCTCTCTCGTGTCTTCTCAGTATCCACCACCTTTGATTCCACCACGTGGGGAAGTGAATGCAGCAGATGCTTTTGACATTGGTTCTTTTGATGAAGAGGACACCAAAGGAATCAAGGTATTGGGGTCCAGGGCGAGGAATTCCAGTCTTCTCTCACAAGGTTATACTGTGCTCTGCTGGACAGCTGATGCTTCCTCTTCTGCTTGCTACTCTGATTGCTGTTTTATCCCATTTTTCCCCCAAAACTGGATCTCAAAACAGATAGCATCACAAAACAGATAACCTTTGCATGCAGGCACCAGGAGCAGTAGTAGTGGAGGCTACAGTATTGTGTTTTGCCATAAGGGATAGCGATTCATCTCAGAACTGGATTGCTGGATCTGGCCCAAGATCCAGTTAGTCTGGCATTTGTTCCCCAATACCCGCACCCACCAGGAAGCCCCTGGAAATGTCACAAGCAGAGTGTGCTTCAGATAGCTATCTGTCTAATATCTCTGCAACAGTTGCAGGTATACTGCATCTAAACCTAGAGGTTCCATTTTTCATACCTTGTTGTTGTTTAGTCGATTAGTCATGTCCGACTCTTCGTGACGCCATGGACCAGAGCACGCCAGGCCCTCCTGTCTTCCACTGCCTCCCGGAGTTTGGTCAAATTCATGTTGGTTGCTTTGATGACACTGTACAGCCAATCTCGTCCTCTGTCGTCCCCTTCTCCTCTTGCCTTCACACTTTCTCGACATCAGGGTCTTTTCCAGGGCTCTTCTCATGAGATAGCCAAAGTATTGGAGCCTCAGCTTCAGGATCTGTCCTTCCAGTGAGCACTCAGGGTTGATTTCCTTTAGAATGGATCGGTTTGTTCTCCTTGCAGTCCAGGGGACCCTCAAGAGCCTCCTCCAGCACCACCATACCTAGTAGCTACAAATTCGCTTTTTCCTTTATAGGGCTGCCCAGCAGTCTCATCTTTAATAACAATGTCCACAAGTGAAATATATGTTCATAGTTCGCCTTAGTAAAATCGTTCCTTATTTGTAAAGGATGTTTGTCATTTAGTCGCTGGATAGATGTTCTCTTTCCTCCTATGGCTGTCCTCGTAGTCTAATGACAAAACTTGATTACTTCTTTGTCCTTGGCTCACTTTTTTCTCAGCCGAACATCACAGGCTTATTGTGAGGAATAAAGTGGGGTCAAAGAGGCCTTGAGCTCTTTAAAAGAAGAATGAGATATAAATGTAAATAACAGTGAGGATGATGAAGGGGGGGGGGAATTCCAGGATATAACATATTTTTAGAGACTGTTGTCTTTCAGTGATGTAGGTGCCATGGAATGAATTTTAAAAACTGTCAGGCTGGCTTAGACCAAATGTCCATCTGGTCCTTCACATTGATTCAAGCCAGCCTGATGCCTCAGGAATGGAAACAACCTTCCTCTGACATGGTGGTATTGGCATTCACTGAACTCTGTGTAGAAGGCTTATAAATAATAATGGAGAGATTGAAGGAATGGACTCCTACATGGGAGGGAAGTAGGGGAGAGCTAGAGACAACAAGAAACATGCTGGAAGCTGGAAAAACCAGGAAGGGAAGGAGTGTGTGTGGCGGTGGGTGGGTTTAGAAAGCACCATATAAGCTAGGAAGATGGAGTATAGTGCCAGCTAGAAGTAGGGGAGTTCAAGCAAACAACTATGCCAGTTACTTAGTACAGAAATAGAAAAGAAATAAAGGGGCTGAGACAGAACATAGGGAGATTTCATGCTTTAGTGCAGTGAAAATCTGCACTAAAACATGAAAAGAGTCCAGCTAGAACAAGCCAAAAGCCTTCTTTGTACAGCATCTATTTGCCCACAGATGCTATTGTGGCATGAGAGCAATAGGCGCCCTCCTGCTCATGTTTCCCAACCAGCTGATACTCAGAAGCAGAGTGCCTCGGATCCTAGAAACAGAGGGACATAACCTGTGTCTCATTCCAGCTGTTGGATAGTGACCAGGAGCTGTATCGCAACTTTCCGCTCACTATCTCAGAGCGCTGGCAGCAAGAGGTGACAGAGACTGTATTTGACACCGTCAATGCTGAGACTGACAAGATCGAGGCCCGCAAGAGAGCCAAGAACAAGCAGCTGGGCCATGAAGAAGGTAAGCCCCACTGCAAGGGTTGCAGCCGTTGATTCCTTTTGCTGAGGCAGGTAACGGGTCTCTCGACCAGACAGCTCTGCCTGTTCAAATCCAGATGGCGAGACCCACACCTTTTTGTTGTTCTTGACAACCTTGCCTCTTCTGTACAGATTACGCCCTGGGCAAGGACTGCATCATGCATGGCTACATGTCAAAGCTGGGGAACCCTTTTCTCACTCAGTGGCAGAGGCGATACTTCTACCTCTTTCCAAATCGGTTGGAGTGGCGTGGAGAGGGAGAGTCCCCGGTAAGGGAAAAGCTTTGCTCCAGTGGACTAGGAAGGGGGAAATGCCAGATTTTGGGTGGGGCGAGGATTTGCCATATATGTACACATGACTTGAGTTCTGGCTTTCATGAGCACTTGTGTGGGAGGTGGGAAGGGTTGAGTGCAGTGCCTGGAGGAGGAGGGTTTGTCTGGATATGGACACAGAATGTATGTTGAAGCTGGAACTTGGAAGTTGCTCTTTCTCTGACCAAATATTTTCTCCTGCCCCATAACAGCAGTCACTGCTTACCATGGAAGAGATCCAGTCAGTCGAGGAGACGCAGATAAAAGATCGGAAGTGCATCTTGCTCAAGATTCGGGGAGGCAAGCAGTTTGTCCTGCAGTGTGATGTGAGTCTTTTCTCCCTCGTATTATTTCTCATAGGAGGAAGTCTGAGGAATACAGAGACTGAAGATCCCACCTTCCCGAACCCTCTTTGACTGTGGACAGAGAACATTTGGGCTCTGCCAGGATTATTCTGTTTAGCACAACAGTTGTGTATGTGTGTTTTGTGCCCTCAAGTCAGAACTGACTTATAGTGACCCTAATAATAGGGCTTTCAAGGTCCGTGAGATTTTTAAGGAGTAGTTTTACCAGTTCCATTCCCCCAGTGAGCTTCCATGGCTGAGCAGGGATTTGAACCCTGTCATTGAGAATCCTAGTCTGTGACTCTGTCCATTACGCTGGGAATCCAGCACAGCAATTATCATACCCAAATTTTCAGCTGCATGATCTGATAGATGGGCAGTATTGATAATAACTGGCATTGGTATAATATGTCTTGTTTGTTCAAAGTCCTTCAGATGTGTTGGTAGTTAGTACAAGAGCTGTGTAAGAAGATTGCTTTATTTTCCCCAGATTGCAGATTGGGCTGCTAAGAGAGAACTTGGCTTGGCTAAGGCTACTTCATGGGTTTATGGCTGAGGCAAAAATGGAACCAGAGGCTCTGTGATCTCACAGCCGAATGTCTTAGCCACTATTCTGTGGTCCATCAAATATCCTGCATTTGAGTACCTGTCTGGGCTCCAGAAGGAGCCTGTCCCGGACTTACTGACACTCCAAAGGATTTGTCTATTCCTGTTGCTTATGGCTTGAATAAGCTACTCAGAGGTGTTAGGATGACAAACACCCTTCCCATATTGTGACCTTGATTTGATAGGTTATTATGGTAAGTTGGATGAGATGAAGTTGGAGAGGGGTGCATTGGTCATCTTGTAGTCTGGCATGAACCAAAATCCAGTTGCAAGAAGAGGAAGAGGCACAAGTATCTTGCAGTTCTTGTTTCTGTCTGGAGCATTATTTTTCACATCTACTCAAAATGAAATGCACTATAATGCTCCTAATATGAGCGGGGTGGGAGTTCAGCATATTTATTTTTTACAAGATTGAGAAGAGGAGAAATGGGAAATTCAAAATGCTTGTGTTTCCTTTTCCCCTAAATATTTTTTTTTCTTAAAACACCTTGTGATCCCTTTCTTGAATTTTGTGGTCACAGGGTTTCTGGTAAGTCTGAGGAATAGGGGGCATGCTTCTCAATCTCTGAGAAATGTAGCCTGCTTGGTTAATAAGGCCAGTTCACATTTTGATGGATTTCAAAAAGATTGTATACTGCCGACTACAGTCAGAAGAATCTATGCATATTCAGCATATATGTAGAATTTAACTGCATACTTTTCCTGCAGGTTGTTGATCCAGAGGAGCCAAGCAACTGGTATTAACCATATTGTGAGACTAAGAGTTTGTGTGGGTGCAAGAGATTTTCCCCTAACCACGGGAAATCCCATTGAAAAGCCCTCTGGCTTTTGATTTTTTAGGAGAGTCTTGCTATGCCTATTTAAAGTCCACACAAAGCAGGAGAACAATATGGTCCAAGTTAACCATTCTTTCTATCTCATTAATTTTAGTGGGCTTTGTATTTTGTTTGAATCTCAGTGATTTTGGTTGGAAGTTTTTATACTGCAAAATAATGTTCCATAGCTTTGAAAACAAAGTGGTTGAATTTCCTTGGGTTCCATACCAGGGACCATATTATTAAATTCTCACATACAAACTTTTTGTGTCAGGGAGGCTGCAACTAAAAACAAGAAGCTATAGAGATTTTTGTACATTACAGCATAATACGTGAACAGGAGAATTCATTTTATTTGATGTCTATTCCATTATGAGAGATGAATGAACTGGAATTAACAAATGTGACAGAAAGAGACACTGACACCAGACACATGTTCTTTACAATCCTTAAAATGTGAACAAGTGAAGGGTTTTTAGGAAGTCTGCTGGCCAGCTGTGTAAAAAAGATATAGGGGAGACATGAACGCTGAAGGTAGGAAACTCTCTAGCCTCAACTAGTGACTAGTTTGTAATTGGGGCCATGTCTTTCAGTTAAGGAGAGATGGTTGGCAGCAGTTATGGTCCTTATTCATGTAGCATCGCAAGTCATAGTTAGTTGAAATTGTGCTTTTTGTGATCATGCCAACCTGCCTCAGCTAACAAGAAAAGCAAAGAAAGTGTGCTGCTTATATACTGCCCCATACAGCTTAAAGCATGGTTTACAGTTCAGTTATACAGGCTACACATTGCCCTCCATCCCCAACCCCACTGCACCCCATGAGCTGGGCACTCAATTTACCACGTGCTGCTTATATATTGCCCCATACAGCTTAAAGCACTCTCTGCACGGTTTACAGTTCAATTATACAGGCTACAGATTGCCCTCCATCCCCAACCCCACTCCACCCCATGAGCTGGGCACTCAATTTACCAGCCTTGGAAGGATGGAAAGGCTGCGTCAACCTTGAGGTGGCTACCTGAGCCTTGGGGTCAAACCGAGGTGGTGAGCAGAGTGTTGGCTGCAGTGCTGCAATTTAACCACTGTGCAATGAGGCATTGGTTTGTTAAGTAGCCCAAACCACAGTCTGATCCCGTGGTTCATTGTTGACTTATAATTCTGTTGTGATATTCTCACCGTGGCCTGTTCCTTGTTCGCTTCTCCAACTGTCAACCCTGAAATAGTGGCTGGCAAATGCTCCTGGGAAAGAAACAAAAAAAATGGGGACTGTAAGTGGTGGTTTATTCAGTCATCATCTCCCTGCCCTGCGGCCTTTCGGTAACCCTTCTGTCTCTTCCCCACAGAGTGATCCTGAGCTGGTGCAATGGAAGAAAGAGCTGCGCGATGCCTACCAGGAAGCTCAGCAGTTACTGCAAAGGGTGCCCAAAATGAAACACAAGCCACGCTCTCCAGTGGTCGAGCTAAGCAAGGTCCCCCTGATCCAACGCAGCAGCAGCAGCACTAATGGCCTCTGACCCTCCTCACCTTCCTCTCCCATCCTTAATTTATTCGGCTGGGTTTGTCCACCGTGCCCACCCTCTCTCCTGTCTATCTTTGCTGATCGTTGTGACGTCCACCCCAGCCCCCTGGGGTATTATAGTGAGGGGGTGGGGCATCTAGGAGGTGTGGGACAGGCTTCCCAATCCCACACCCCAGCACATGGGGACTGATACCCACTGAAGGGGAAGGAGCCTGGTGGGTAAGGTAGGTAAGAGTCTACCTGTCCCCAACTGAGCAAGGCTGGAATTTTGGCCCTGCCTTTTAATCGGACCAATGGAAGGAGATGTCCCGAGGTGTCCTCTGCCTCTTGGACAATTCCTGCTTCCTCCCTGTGGTGCCAAACCTGCACTTGTGCACATAGCAGGAGCCTCCCAGAACATGCTTGTGTAGCTCTTGCTCCCCATGGGTGAGTGGGAAGGCATGTCTTCTGTGGCAAATCCCCTTGTATTGGCAGAGAGGAAGAAAAATCTGTGTGACAATCTGAATTCCAGCCCCTTTCCCTTCTAGCCCCGGGCTCTTGGCGGGGGTTCCACAGTGGATCCTGAAGCAAGTGTGCTCTAGCTCTGTCAGAAGAACTCAAGAGTACATTTATTTCCACTGCCGTCATTAGTAAGGCAGCCAGTGTGTGCCATAAACATCCCTTTCAGGATCGTTCTGAATTTTTACCCTAGGGGGAGGCATGTTAAGGAATTGCCTTGAAACTGTTACACTCTTTAACAAAAATTTCTAACATAAATGAAGGTTTGCTTCTGTTCTCTTCTCCTGTTTTCCTGAGTCCAGGTCCCTAAGCCTTACCTATGCTTACACCTTACCTACACCTCCTTCTTGTCCTGCTGGCTGCCATTTTCACAGCAGCCTTAGGAATTATTATCCTCTGCCTGTGCTGTCCTGCTGTCTGAGGCCTAAACAGAATTCTCTGTCAACCGTGCCAAATTTCAAGCAGATTTTTGTGCCCCTCCCAGTTGGCCAGTGGAAAGTGTGTAAAGCTGTACTCTGTGACCCCAGGCCAGATCTGGACACGTTCTCTATGTTTAACTTGTTCAGACTATATCATTGCCTCTAGCACTTCTTGGGATGGGGTGAGAACTGCCTGTGCTCTGCTCTCTCCACTGCCAAAACCCATCCTGCTTTTCTGTGGGAACAGGAAAGGGGCAGCAAGCTTCATGCTCAAAGAGATTTTGAGCTGCCTATGTCTTCTGCTCAGCACCTCTCTAGGTTGGGACTGGGGCTAGAGTGTGGGTGAGACACAGTAGCTGGCAACAGCCCGGATGATGCCCTGTGCCAACTCCCAAGTATTTGAAGGATTCTGTAAATATCTCTGTGCCAAGGGGCTGGGCTGAGTTTGAAAAACTGGGCCCACCATTCCCTTCCCTTCCAGTATGCCTTGTATGAACAGCGTTCCCTCCTCCCCAGCAGTGTTAATGATTTCTCCCACAGGATGGAGAGAAATCTCAGGTTGAATTATCCCTGTTCCCTTCCTTTGCCCTCCATTTCCAGGGGTTGGGGTGGATGGCTTTTGGTTGGGGATCAGGCCTTGTCCCCACAGTCTCATGCTCCAAGCGCATGCGATTGCCTCTGCTGCATGCCTCCCCCCATGTGATGAGTTTTGCCTGTTCTGCCACCCGATTCCTACACTTTGTCCTTGGCACCTAGCCTTGGAAGGGGAGAGGTGGAACACAGCCCCTTTCCCCTGCAGTGTTTGTAAATATTGATCTCTGGTTTGTCTTTCTGGGTTATTATTATGGATTTTTTGCCGATTTTTGAATGTGATTTTAATGAGTGGGATAAAGACTGTTTTTATAATAAAAAAATCCAAAACCCCCAACTGTGGAACAGACTCTTCTGTGCAGTATGGGTTTAACCTCATACACAGCTGACTTGGAGTAATTATTAGATCTTCAGCTCAGTACTTCCCAAGTCCTGGAATCATTTAGGCCCAAGATAATGGTGCCTGAATCCCAGGCCTTATATACACAAAGTGTACGTTTTGCTGTGGGATTTTTGACTCCTGTTTCATACAGAAGTAAGAAGTGTGGTTCATCTTAAGCTGAAGAGGACCCTCCAAGATCTTTTGGATTAATTACACTTCCCAAAAAGCCTTGATTGGTCGTGCTGGCTGAGTCTTCTGAGAGCTAAAGTCAAAGGCATTTGGAGAACTAAACATTCTCCATCCCTGATATAGGGACTGTGCTAGGAAAGAGAAAGGCAGTACTGTATGTGTGCACACATATGTCCTAAGAATTTGCATTGCAGGAGGTAATGGACCCTTTCACCTGAAACATTGGGTTTGTGGAGAGGGCAAACACTGGGCTGGTCAGTTCCATATTTTTGGAACATACAGTATGTTTGAAAGAATCTATCCAGAAAAGTTTATCTTGCAGCATATGCTAACTATAAAAGCACTATCATGCGCTCTCAATAAATTAAGAGTTTTTTAGAAAGTGCATCTCAAGTTCCAAGCCATGATGGGGATGTATAATCTCCAGGCTTAAAAGGAAGGTACAGTATATCCTTTAACATTGTTATTCCCTTTTTGTTGGTTTGTGACGAGAAAAGAATTCTAAATTGCCATGGAAATTGTTAGATAACTCTTCAATTGCCTAGCTCCAAACTTCTTCCAGCAAAAGGCATTTCCTTTCCATACAGAATCACAGTACCTCCAACAGGAAGCTGAACAGTGTTCAGCTTTATTTATGTCTTAAAGACCCAAAGGCCTACTTGCCTTTTTAAAACTGAAAAAAAGGTGATGTGGTTAAGTGTAGAATGTCCTGCAAGAAAATGATTACTGAAAGTGTGCTGCTAGCAAATGCTAGCAGTAGCATAATGCCATTAAAATAAATGGCTACTGCTTGCTTAATGAACTTTAGTTAAATGTCTTCTCTCTTGTAAGCCTACATAAATCCACCCACCTCCCAAAATATGTTCTAAATAAAAATAGTAAGTGGCTTATGGAGGAGAAAGAATTGTGTCACAATTTTCATTACAATACTGTATACAATATAAGTGCTTTTGACAGCAGGTTAAAAGAAAGAAAACATGTAAGCAAGAAATGTTCATGCAGCTGTTGCTGGTGATCTATTTTGAATTAGAGGAGTGAATGGCATTTTAAAAAAGGAGTAGAATAAACATTTTTTGTGTAGTCCAATACATCTCGATTCAGAAGTAAACCTCAATTGAGTTTAGTGGGACTTACACTTGTACATAAGATGGGACAGCTTTTACTGAACAAATAGATTAGACAAAAATGTTTTTATAAGATCTATGCAGAATTTGAGGAAAAAGAGGAGAAAATCTCCTGGAATTTGAATCTTACAGGAATAAATAAAATACTCGGTGCAAAAGGCAAGCTAGTGTCAAAATGATATAATAAAATGTGCCCAGAGTGGTCAATTGACTAGACAGGCAGGATATAAATAAATAAATAAATAAAATAATACCTGAATGGAAAAAGAAAATTCCAATATACTTAATGAAAAAAAAAATCCACTGATATGAAATGAAGGTATCTACCACTTACAGGAGTTGCACCCAGTCCACTGCATATAACTCTTTATCGCTGTTAAGTCGTGTCTGACTCTTTGTGACCCCATGGACCAGAGCACATCAGGCCCTCCTGTCTTCCACTGCCTCCCGGAGTTGGGTCAAATTCATGTTGGTAGCTTCGATGACACTGTCCAACCATCTCGTCCTCTGTCGTCCCCTTCTCCTCTTGCCTTCACACTTTCTCGACATCAGGGGCTTTTCCAGGGAGCCTTCTCTTCTCATGAGATGGCCAAAGTATTGGAGCCTCTGCTTCAGGATCTGTCCTTCCAGTGAGCACTCGGTTGATTTCCTTTAGAATTGATCGGTTTGTTCCAGTGGTGGGGTTCAAATAAATTAACAATAGATTCTATGTCCGATAGATAGATAGATAGATAGATAGATAGATAGATAGATAGATAGATAGATAGATAGATAGATAGATAGATAGATAGATAGATAGATAGATAGATAGATAGATAGATAGATAGATAGATAG